TTCAGATTCACAAAAAAAAAAAAAATAAATAAAAATAATTTGATTACTACTACACATCTCTTGAACAATGATCACTTTCACAGAACATTGTCAGTCTTTATTCTTGAACACAAGGCATGAATTCAAGATAATTTACTAAAGTGGAAATTTATTTTAAACTATATATATATATATATATATATGGTATGAATTTTAATTACCCACATCTTACATAAGCATTTTTGGTGTGGCAGGATGTATCATCTCCTCTGAACTCTACAATCTGAGCATTTTCAAGTCATGTGATAATCTTTCACTCATATCACACCTCATTCATCATAATGGAAATCCTCCACCTAGAGTGGCTCTTGCGTCTTGTATTGAGTGAACAGTTTCAGCTCCTTACCATCAATTCAAAAAGAAAATACAGGTCTTTTGTTGTTTTTTTTTTAAAGAAATAAAACAAATAACAAGAAATTTGCTCAGTAACTTTAATGCAATAAAAAATAATAATACCAAAAAAATTTTCTTTACTGCCCCCACCCCACCTTTGCTTTATTTAAATTTTTTTTTCTTTGTTTTTTTTTTTTTTAATTCTTTCCTCTCCACATACAAGAAACATACAATGGAAATTTGAAAATTAATTATAATTGTAAAACACTTGGGTAACCAGCATTTTTGGCTTGTAACTGACAGTTCACAAGTGGAAGGGTTGATCAGGACCAAGTTTAAAAAAAAAAAGTTACAGAAAGATGGGAAATGACAAGGGCTACAAAAATAAAAAAGCAATGGCAATAGTTCCCTTACCCCTCCCTTTTTTTTTTAATTCTCTAAAGCAGTGGGAAGGAGATTTTCTATAAATAAATAAAAAAAAAATGTTTAAGAAACCAATTGCAATTGATACAGAGTGAAAGATGTTACATGGATATGACTGTCAAGATAGGGAAGTGTCATCAAGAGTAGAGCTAAATTGAACAACCAAGTAAAATAAATAAAAAATGAAGCAAATATAAAACAAAATAGCTATGGTCATTTTAGACAAAATTTACCTACTGATGTAAAGAGAAAGGCTAGAAGTATTCATTTTAAAAAAAAAAAAAAAAAAAAAAGTCAATTGTTTCCCTACTATTACATATCCTTCAAGACCAATATAATCAGCTAGAAATCTTAGCATATAGGTATATGCTGTATATAATAATAAAAAGCAAGAGGGGGTACTAATTCAATTAATTTTACTCCCCCATAAAAATATAGAAACTTGTTAGTTGTAAGAAAAAAAAAATATCAAAACAACTGAAACTTGTGTTTAAATAATCTTGACTATGACAATAGGTCCCTCAATTGAAAAGTAGGTCAATTCTGTATTATTCAACACCAGCAAATTAACATGAAAATAGCTTTACAAATGTCTGCCTATTTTTAAGCATACAAAAAGTGCAGTCAATAGAAAATTTGGGGGAAGTGGGGGTGGGGCATTTATAAATATTAGGATGTATCAAAAGTATTTTCTTTTCCTTAAAAAAAAAAAAAAAAAAAAAAAAAGGGGGGACCATTACTCCAAAGCTTATTTGTTTAATGAAATGAAACACGTTTTGGAGATTACTTAGTTACCTTGAAATACTAGCTGAGAAAAAGTAAGTGCAATCCTAATGGGTGCCCAAGCAGCAATAGAGAAGCTGAGCCATTGGATATGGCTCAAAAGAAACAATGAAAATTAACTAGAGAAATGATACCTGGGACAAAAAAAAAAAAAAAAAAAAATAGCTGACCGGCAGTGAACCAATCAAACTATATCATGCGACCTCACAGTGTTTGAGTGTGCAGTGTGTAATAAAATGCATTATTGCAGGTTCTGAAACCGAGTGAATCACTCCTGATAATGTTGAAAACCTCCTAACATCTAGTACACAGAACATTCAACTGACAGCACTTGCAGTAGCAAGCTGTTCTCAGTTTCTTCGAATAAGAGTCAGTAAAGAGAGACTTCACTGTTATTATGATGTAAATCCTCTTAATATTTAGATCATACATTTTTATTGTTTCAGATGTTATAATGGTCACTACAAATGGAGAGATTCTGCAAATTTGAGAGGCATTAATTTAAATTGGGGGCCCCAAACCATTGGAGCTGCTCATAGAAATTGGAAGGAAATTAAACGGTCCGACCCTACCACCCAAAACGAGTTTCAAAAGTGATAAGTTATGCCTTGAAACAAAGCCCAGAAGTGAACACTCATCAGTTGTCAATTTTGATGTTTTAAAGTGCAAGCTAAAGAAAATAAAAAAAAAAACTGACCACCAGCAGTTGAAAACTAAGTTCGGATTGCAGAAAGATAAGCTGATATAATGACCTACATATCATAAGATAAATAGTTGAAAAATGAAAATACATTTGATAGATCAATAAGAGAGTAAAATTCAGTACTGCTTTGGCTAAGTCTATTAAAATGAATGACTTTTGCTTAAGTTAGGCCTCTTTTTACAAGTAGGAAAAAAAAAAAAAAAAAAAAAAGAGAAACAATCAAGAATCAAACAAAAATTACAATTTAGAGGACAGGGCTGTGGAGGGCTTCAAAATGGACCAATGAAGAAGCAAATTATATTGTTTCATAACTGATCAACACATTCACAAAAGGATTGCAGATCTTTAAATAGAAAAGGAATGACATCTCTAATTACTCTCTCACACAAGTTAAGAAAACAAAAACAAACATCCTCTCCACCCCTTGCAGCCTCCTATCAATGGAATCAAAATGAAACTGAAAAACAATGACCTAAAATAAGATGACATTTGTCTATTTACATAAACGGGTCAAAGTTTAAGTCTATGCAAGATTCACTTATTTAATGTGGCCAATTATTGACTTTACATTTTAAAAAAAAAAAAAAAAAAAAAAAAAATTCTGTTTTTTCAAATGCACAAATCAGAAACAGAAGTCAAACCCAAACATTTCTTTTGCTAGAAAAGTCAATATTTCAAGATCCGACATGAAAATACACAGTAAGCCATTTCTAATTCTAAACATGCAGATTCTAGATGCAGATCAAGAGTAAAGACGGTAAAATTTATTCTAATTTGTTAGTCAAAAATATTTTTTAATACAAACATCTTAAAAATATAAATTATTTTTTTTTTTTTTTTTTTTTTTTTTTCAAACTTGATTCTTGTCTGAATTTTACAAAAATTCAAAATAAGAAACATGAGACATTTTGTAAAAAAATATTTTGGAGGGTGAATGAATTTTGCCTGAGGTTTCAATTGTTCAATTTTATAACACTTTACATGACAGTGATATTTTAATAAGTGATGCACCCTCAGCAGAGAGCTGACAAGTTGGAGTTGAAAGAAACGGAAGAGGTAACTGATAAGCAATTTAAACAAAATTTCTAAGAACCAAGTACGAGTAGTGAAGCATCTTAACTCCCCCCCCTTTTTCAGTTTTTTTTGATAATCTATATTTTTGATAAAAAAGGTCTTGCTTAAATTTAGGTTAAAATTCTTTTCAGAAGTTGAGCAATCAGTTTTTTGGGTTTTTTTAAAGCAGCAAAGATATGAATGTAATAAATTACTGAGTGAATTAGATTAAATAAGAAACAATAAATAGAAAAATGAATGAAGTTTGAAATGCAAATGAAAAAAAAAAAAAAAATAAAAGAAATATGTAGTTTGCTTTAGAAATGAAGTCTTATAAGGGTCGATTCCCATTGCATCAAGATGGCATTATCACCTTGCTTGGGGTAGTGCCTCTTACTCTGTAACCCTCTACCAAGAATGGCTATTGGGCCTTGTTCATCTATATATATATATATATAAAAAAATGCTCAGAGAAGAAACTTGAAAGACAAGGAAAATACTATTTTTAGTTTCAATAACTTTGTAAAATGCACAAACATTTCTTCAAATTTTAAAATAAAATTTTAATGATTATACTTTTCTTTGGACAGGGAAGAGGATGCAAGGTAAAATTAAAATGACAGAAAAATAAATTTCTTTAAGATTCCAATCATTTTTAATAAAATATAAATTACAGTGATTTAATGCAAAATGTGGGTGGGGGGGTTTTAGACTGCAGCATTTTAACCATATGGCTAACATTCCAAAGATTAAATTTTGATAATCACATGACCATGTTTACAGAAGCAAACCTAATTGGCAGAAGGCATGAAAGGGAACTCATGGCAAAGGGAGAATCATTGTCGGAAACGGGATTTACTAAAATAAAAAAAAAAATAAAAAAATTAAAAAATTCTACATTAGACATTTGAAAAGCTAAAACTAAAATGGGTGTTGGTAGTTATCATCAAGTCATTTTTATGTTTCTTTTCTCTGCAGTAGAAAAGAGCTTAAAAGAGGGGGAAATTCTATTTCACCTCCTAATCTTTAAAGACAAAAAACAGACTAAGAAAATTACGAAATGCAAAGAAAGATCTTAATAAGTTCCAGGTATTTCCTAAGTTTTTCAAAAATAATTTCAGGATCTGTAAACTTGCTACTAAAAAAAAAAAAAAAAAAAAAAAAATTATTCTTCCCAATTAAGAAAATGCAATTTCTCTAATAAGCTTGAAACAAAAATTAAAAAAGATAACATCTTATAGCAAAATTAATACATTTGGAAAGAAAAAAAAAAAAAAAAATCCACCTCTCGTGCAAAAAATAGCAGTGTCTATAATTATCTAATATTAACACTACTTGTTGAAAGAGAGAAGAGAAAACAAAACTCGTTTGCATCAGAAAAATTATCCACAGCTCTTATTTCTTTATTGTGCAATATTTTATGAAAAAAAAAAAAAAAAAAAAAACACTTTATAGTAAAAAGATGTAAATTAAATAGTCTAGAATTCTTGATGACAATCCATACATTTTAAAATAAGAGAAAGCAATAGACAATGATTAAAATAAATAAAAACATGCAAGTTACAAGTCGGGCATTTAAGGTAAATTAAAGTAACTAAAATAAAAAATGCAGACTTTTTTTTTAAAGGGAATTTATATAATGAAGCAGAATAGACAAGATGGATGATCAAAGAAAACAAAGGGACACAATGGAAGCGAAAGATGAGAAGAAAGAAAGTAGCCCTGATGAAAATAGACAGGCAATAACTAATAATTAAAAAAAAAAAAAAAAAATTAAAAAAATAAAGTAAACAAAGATAAATTTAAAAATATTTTTTTTTTTTAATGGAGAAAAAAAAAAAAAAAATTAAGTGACTGAATTTTCATCGTTACTTATGCTAAACATTTTAATGCCGTTTCTTTTTTCGTTTACGCTTTCCCATTTTAGATGCACTGGTAGCACCAGCTGCAGTCCCAGCTGCAGCTGCACCAGTCTGAGTTGACTGCTGGTGAGACCAAGTGTTGTGGTTATTTTTACTGCTGTTGTTATTGTGAGATGACGTAGATGACGTGCTATTGGAGGGATCCGACTGGCGAGCTTGATTCAAAAGCTGATTTATAAATCCATCCAGATCGGCCTCCCTGAAAAAAAAGAGAGAGAGAGGAAAAAAATATTATCAAGTAGCAAGTAATCAACACAATGCCAGTCATGGAGTTAAAGGAAAGTTAAGATTGGAAAATTTACATTTAGAAGAAAAAAAAAAAATAAATAAATAAATACAGGGGGAGGCATTTTGTTAGTATTAAATTGTACAATAGCTCTCTAAAATTTTTTTTTTAATTGGTATCACTCCATGCAAAACAGTAAAAGCCACAAGGGGTTACGGCGTGTGTAAGAAGTAGAAACAGAAACATTAATAAAAAGCAGGAAGAAAGAATAATTAATTAGATGGATAGTAGATGACAATTGACATTGCATTTAAATATTTGCAGATTAAAGTTGGCTGAAAAGCCAGAAGGGAGTTCCACAAGTGAGAAGTGCGAGAAAAGAAACTGTTAGCATAGAATTTACAGTTACATCTGGCCAGCTCAACTTTAAATTGATGAGATCTTAACGCCAGTCTAGTATTGCGCTTAAATTCAAGAAGTCTAGGTACCATAGCCGAAGAACTCATCTGAATAATTACCATGAAAGTATAAAAATATTACATTATAATCATCTGGCTGTACCAATATCAATGCTGTACATACAATAATGTGCAGAGGTTTGGTAATGCCTGGGTCAACCACTTGACTGTATGACCCCCAAGACTAAAGTAAGGGGACCTATAGAACCTAGTACTGAGAAATGTGAGAAAGGAAGATATTTGAAATATGTAAATACACACAAAACATGAAATAAGCACTATTCAAATTAAATATAAACTAAATTTTTTATTTCATTCTTTGGTTGGTTCCTGGAGTGGTCACACCCTCTGCCCCTCCTTTTCTGCATCGAAACAGAAACAAACGATAACTATTTTGGTTGAAATGTCACTTGACAAACTTTGCATTTTGATGTAAATATTCTTGTACAATGCTTTTCACCCTGTTACTATAATACTCACTCAACATTCACATTGTTATAAAGTTAAGCAAATTAAGATTGTGGGAGCTGAGACAAGAGTTAATTGTTGCTCATTAAGCAACATAGCATCAATAAGGCTGAAGGGGAAAAGTAAAAATATAAAATAACATACATATTTTTAAATTCATCAACTTACCCAGTTCGGTGAGAACCACCTCGATCTGTGTCAGTTTCAATTCGATAGAAAACCTGATGAGAATTGGATTTTAGATGTTTAAAAAGTCCTTTCTGGAAAAAGAAAATAAAAAAAAGGTGTAAGTCCAGTTATTAAAAATGCAAGTATTTAGTCATAAAAAGGAATAATCAATGTAAAGAAAATAAAAATTAAAATAAATAAAAATATATAATAATAATAGTAGCTTCTTGCCACACTTTATTCAGCTTTTAAGTTTCCTTTTTTAAGGATGCTTCTTTACTTCAGACTAAAGTGTCAATTTAAACGTTTAAAGCAGACAATATATTTACTATGGCTTTCATTTGTGAACATGGTTTCTATTCAAAGACTTGAAAGAGATGTGATCAGTCAATTTTATTTTTTCATTTTAAATATTTGCAATTCAGTTTAAAAATCTTAATTAAGATCGTCAGTACATTAAAACTTACAATATTTGAATAATGATAGACAGATATGTTCTTGTATTTACAAAAATATCTTTGCAGTTGCACAAAAGTTAGCAAATTTAGTCTCACAGACTATTAGCAATATAAGTTTGATCCTCAGTGTTCAAATCACTTATAACTTTGTGCCAGACTAAAAATTATCTAAGTGTATGGCGTGTATAAAAAAAATGAATAAAATAATCTAGTTATTTCATGTGTTTGGAAATTAAAGTTTTATAGTTTAACAGATTAAAAAATAAAAATTTAAATTACTATTTCTCTAAATTGAGGAGTTATTTACTTTGTTGTTCTTATCAACATTTTAGCTGTTGCACCCTAAATCCTTCATCAGGTGCTAGGAATAGCCTAGTGGATTAAAGCATTGGTTTTTGAATTTGGTGACAGGAATTGTCAGTTCAATCCCTGGACAGTGCAGTGTGTACTTGAACATAGTGGAAATAGAGCAAGCAATAACTGAACAGTATTAAATAAGAAATAAAGGAGATATTCCTAAACATGGGCAGTGGAACGAGAGCAAGCTACTCCCAATAGATCAAAACAATTCAGTTTGAAATTCGAAAAGTGATCAAAATTGATAAGCAAAAAAAAAAAATTTTTAGTGAAATAAAAAAACATTTTGAGCCAAAGATTAAATGGAAAGAAATAAGGAAAATTAGAATACTTACACGGCAAGAAACCCATTCTGTAATGTCATACACGTGACCATCCATACATGCATAATAGTGCCACAAAAATCCCAACATGGAAGTCTGGGCCCAGACATCACCCTAAAAGACAAGGATTAGGGTTAAGTAATAAAACCCACAGAAACTTATCTTTAAAACAAATTTATTGTAAGTTCCATAAAAACATTTACAATCAAATTTTGATTTTAGCACACATGAAAAAACACTAAACACAGGTCAGATGAAATATAAGAAAAGGATTTTACAAGAATTCAAAGAAAAATAAATGTTTTGATGACAAAAATGTACAAAGAAACCAAATTCCACCATATAACTTTTTTTTGACAATAGATGGTCAAAAATGAAAGTGTGTGTGTGTGTATATATATATATATATATATATATAGCTTTATTTTTTTGTACTTCAAAAAATTCTTGAGCTTACCTCCTTGGCAGGATGGTTTATATTACATTTATCACAGTAACGTGCACTATACCAGGGCTTATCCACAGGAATACGTTGATGCTTCCCACCACACTGGTCACATTTCATCATGTTGGCTTCCTGGATTATATTAAAAGACATTCAACCAAATTGATTTCAATGCATTAAAAGAGTTGCAAGTTTGTTTTTTTTCTTATTTTATTAAAAAAAGAAAAAAAAATTTAATAATCATTCAATACTTGAAAAGGCAACTTGAGCTAAAGTACCAGGTAAAAAATATTTTAACAGTAGAATTCTGTTAAATTCAATTTGTATGACAATATGTCAGTTATTTGCTTAACGGATAAACTCTTACAAGTAAACATGCCTGCAAAACAAATTCCTAAGAGGCATTTTATACTTCATAAACATCTGGAAAGGAACATTAATTTGAATAATTACTAAGAACTTATTTTTAGCACATTTATCCTAAACCTGATACTGATAGCATTTATTTGTAAACAAGCGAAAAGGTTTTTGAAAATAAATCTTCAGGTTTGATATAGTGGATTTATCCCTTTTACAAAAATTGAGGAACATGTTACATTCAAAAACTCGAAACATTACAGAGCCAACAGGCCACCAATAGAAGGGTCACTCCAATAAAATAAAAATAACAGGCCACTAACAGAAGCACCACTCCTATGGCCAAGAGTAACAAAACAGTTTGAAAATCTTGAACTAATCCTTCACATACAAATAACCAGTTTTCTGAAATAACCTTCATCACTATTGGATTACTTTTATACATATAAAAAAAAAATACCTATCTTTCATGGGATCATTTATCTGAAACTGCAAATAGCTTAAGTGGGCAAGATTACCATTGTAAAACAATTCTTACCTGTTTAAACCTTTCCTTTAATTTATTCAAGAGGTCAGCAAACTCTCTCTATGAAAGAAAACAATCAAAAATAAAGAAAATTTATAGAAAACAATCAAAAACTTTAATTTCAAAGCTAAGTAAAAATTATTTGTTCATCAAATTAAAATTTACTGTGAAATATTTGTGTGAAAAAAAAAAAAAAAAATCTAAATCTACAACTGATTAAAATTACATACCTTAATCAGTATCTACAAACCCTACAGACAGATTTTTTTTTTTTTTTTTTATGAACCCTTTCCGGGCTATTTCAATGAAACATTTCAGATTGTAATAATTTTTTGCAAGTGAATAAATAATACATTATGAATTTTTTGAGAATAATGCTTTTTTCCAGATACAACTATTTAACCCATAGCTGGTGTAGGAGATGGGTTCATACCTTTCCCAAGGGTATTTGCGCACAAGTAAATCTAATAAACCCAACTGAAATTTGAACTCAATTCTCAGATTTCATATTCCAATATTATACCATTTGCACATGGATTTTTCTTTTTTTTTTTTTTTCTATATTAACCCTTTGTGGACTATTTAAGGCTGAAACATCTAATCGTAGGAGGTCGCTTACAGTAGTCGGCCTACAAATGAAAAACCTGCAGAGTATTGTATGAAAATTTATACTGCAATTTAATCTTGTGGACTACAATGTAAGGATTTTAGTGTAGGTAAAACATCTATTAATAATATGCAGTTAAGATTCATTATTTATCAATGACATTTTATTTATAAAAAGAGGAAACAAACCATTGCTTGATCTGACTGTTGCATCTGTGCGTCATATTTCACTCGTTTTTCCTGAAAATAAACAGAAATTAAGTTTAACGAAAATGTTCAAATAGCAATGGCCACGTCTTGTGGTTAAAAAGTAAATTATATCCTGGAATGCCTGATCACAGAAAAGAGAGAACACCAATGAAACAAAAGGACTGATTCTTTTATACAGTAGATACCAAGATTGAGACAAGCAGAACCCATGAAAATTTCATGGTTTTCTTATTTGAATTACACAGACAAATCATAATTCTTAATTTAATGAATGAATAAGCTCCACAGCTAGAAGAAAAAAAAAAAAAAACTCCATTGTTAAATATTTGAGATTAACAACTTTAACAAAATATGGCAATAACAATCATAAACAGGAATGCAGGTCATTATTTAAAATAGTAAGTGGGTACAAATATTGTCCATGTCACTGAAGCAGACAGAGGGTTATTTGACTCCTCTATCTTCTTTTTCTTTCTCTAAAACCAAACAGCATCTTTGATGATTTTTTTTCTTGTCTTTCCTCTTAATCAAGATGGAAGGGCCTATTATTTACTCAAGACAATGGCAGGGTATAAAACATGTGCTAACGAACTAGAAGAATCAGAATTATAGAAGTTTGTTGCATCAAATTGTTCTTACAAGAGACATTCAGTGAGAATAAAGATTTCACATATTGTGCGTGTGTGTATATATATATATATATATATATATATATATATATATAAAATCCTCCATGAGATCACTAAAAAAAAAAAAAAAAAAAAAAAAAAAGCACAGCATGATGAAAAAGATCCCAAACTTGATGAAAACAAAATTTTATTATCAAAATGTTTGTTATTATTAAGAGGAAAGAACAAAGTATTTTTTTTAATCATTTTTCAAAATTTTTCCCTTCTTTTTAGAACATTCTAACTTTTGATTGTGTCAGCAGAAGTACTAAATAACATAGCATTTTTTTTTTATATATAAAATTAGTCATTGGTGTTATTAAGTAGATCTTTACAGCATTATAAGTTGTATAGCTTATAACAATCAGCAGACCCGATATGTCAGTTTCAGTTTATAAAGATCTCTCCTTAATAAAGATAACTAGCTTTGGAAGATGGCAGGTTTAACAATGCAAAGTGAAATATTAATTTTTTTTTTTTTATTATTTATAAATAAATCTAAAAGAAATTGGCCATAGAAATATTTCAATAACAATAAACTATAAGCCTAAACCAATCATTCTGCCTGTTAATATATAAGCTCACTGGCATTCTAGAACTTTAATCAATTTTGTTTCCAAGAAATCTTCTTGGTTTTGTGGTCATGCAATTCTGTACATCACTGCACCAGCTGTGATGACAACCTAGGTTGGCTGTATGTGAATACACAGGCATTTGCTATGTTCCACAGATTCACCTCAATAACTAAGGCCATGATTGCTGTCAACAAACCAATAGAGACAAATGCTTTTCAAGACATGTTGGGTTGAGAAGTAGCAAAATAAATATGTCTTCTACAAGAAAACAAACTTCTAACTGACTTCTAAGTTCAAGCCACAGAAAACAAACCCCAAACAACTTTTGGGTGGTCAGTTTTTTCAAAGGACACTTCTTTTACAGCTATCTAAAATCACTAACAAAATTTTATGTTTGTCAATTCAAAGGTGGGCTGAAGACAGAATTCTTGGTCATTAAATGGACTTAAACTAACCTATCCATTCATTTAAATGTGAGAAACCATATTGCTACAGCTTTAATATCATTTCCCATTCTCATGTAAATCTCCACAATTTTTTTTTTTTTTCAGTTGGATTAATATCTGGAGGAGCTGAAAGTCATTCCATTAACTTGGTTTTTACGGTCCAGTGTGGTCTCAAATTTTTTTTTACTTCAGGATGCACTTATTCTATAAGTAAAACTCTGGAGTACACTTTAAATTAAAGGAAAAATTAGTCATGATATTTGAAAATATGAAATTTTGGTTTAGGATCCACAAAAATTAGAGGCACAGTTTAAAGGAATTTATGAAGAATCTGCTATTTGTTTTAGAGAGGCTGATAATTACCGATTTAAATCCATTGAGTGAGGCAAAATAGAAAGATTAAGGAATTTAGCATCCAGTTTACAATACAAGAAAAACATGGAACCCATGTGCCTGGTGTCTCCAGCTTTTTTACAAATAAAGATTTTAAATATAAAAAGAATCATGAATTATTTTTTGTTTAACTTGGGATAAACATGGCTAACTTTCAGGATAAATGAGTGCACACCAGTTGAAAAACATTGGAATATAGCATGAAGAGTATTCCAGAAATTAATTTGGTGCCATTATTCACATCTCCCTATATACAAATCAACTTCTAAAATGACATTGATCCAATCATTTCCAGAAATCAATGAATTGAGACAATTGCAAATATAAAAATTGAAAAAAAAAAAAAAAAAAAAAAAAAAAAGGAATTTTGAAGGGAGACATTTATGACAAAAATATAAATTTTAAAATCATTATTTTAGATAAGACTAGCAGTAGAGCCCGGCATTGCCCGGGGATGTAACAGTAAGAGATAGATCAAGTATCGACCATCATAAAGACTGAAAAATAAAATTGACAAAGATTATTGTTTAAGGTTGACGGGCACGCATGTCTTAATTATTTTTTTTTTTTTTACAAATTGGTCAAACCCAAATTCAAAACAAAAACATTGTTTACAATCGTTATGAGTCTATCGATTGGTGAATAGAATTTTATTATAAACAATTGTCTTGTATATGGAATTTTTAAAGCATTCTGAATGTAAAAATAAAGAAAAAAATGTACAAGACAATAAGAAACACTACCTGCCAAAAAAAAAAGTGAAGTTTTGTTGAAATCAGTTGAAAAATGTAGGTAACCTTTCTCTGTAATCTTTTACAATTTATGATTTTTACTTATTGAATACAGTAAAAAAAATTGCATATTTTGCTTGTGGTGATTCATAATTAGAATTCTGATTTGAATTTCCACTCGTTGTTTCTAATACAAAAAATATTAACTTTATTTGGGTTTATTAATTTATTACAAGTACTGTGTTCTTTCCTTAATAATTATCATCTTCGAAATATTGTTTTTTGTCTATCAGATTTTTTACGTCAGCATTTTTAAATTATTTCTTAATACTTTCTTTTAAATATTGAATTAATTTCAAATAGAACCAATGCCTTATTGATCTGCCTTGTAACAAGTTGCAAAGGGAATTGTAAAAACGGCCCTAAAGTACGTGGAATTATCTTTCCCTAAAGATAAAGAATTATCCGATTTTTCAATTCGTACAATCAGTAGAGATCGTTAGATTATTGTTTAGGTTGATGGACACGCATGTCTTAGTTTTTTTTTTTTACGAATTGGTCAAACCCAAACAAAAATATTGTTTTCAATCGTTATGATGAGTCCCCCAATTGAATAGAATTAGAATTTTATTATAAACAATTGTCTTGTAAATGGAATTTTATAGTTAAAAGCACAAGGCTTTGAAGAATGCAAATCATGTTTTTTTTTTTTTTTTTTTTTTTGGCCAAATCAGCTGTTAATTGTAACATACAAAACTCAATAAAACAAATATATTATTTAGTTTCAAATGCTTTTATTTGTTTTAATTTGTTTTTATGAATATGGACAATATTTTCTGAAAGCAAAAAATTTTTTCAATGAAAATTGAATTTTTAATACAATTATTTCTTATTTCTTTAATTTTAAAAAACTTTTAAAAAAAATTTTAAATTGAATTTTTAAAAATATTTTAACATTAGTTAAAAGCAACATCAACCTTTCAAAATGTCCGTGTGAGATTGTCATTGTCTAGCGCTTTGAAAATTGTATAATTTGGACCAATCAGATTAGCCATGGTAATTAAGAAATGTAATTTTTGTGTTTATAGTCAGACAGTAATTATCAAGTACGGAAGACCAAACCAGAATACAATTTAGTTGCATTATTTGAGTTCAGCATTGTTCTCCGCTGTTAAGCCCTTTACTTTTCTTGAAACACGTATGGAGAAGTTAATTTGTGTTTTCAATTTCAACTGAAAAGGGTACCTACAAGTAACAGTATCATATGAAATTTAACTACTGCTAAACTTTAATTTATATGATCTTATTTTTATATTAATCTCAGTTATGACATTTTTCCATAAATGAAATATCAAAATTAATAAAATGAATGGAAATACAAATAACACAGTAAAATGTAATAAATGTACATAAAATTATAGTATTTATGTACACTTCTGATAAAATTTCATAAGAAAGGTACCTAAATTAATTAGATACCTTTTTCTTATGAAATTTAATCTCACTATTAACAGTCTTATTTTTTAATTTCTTTATATTTTCCATAAAGCATAAATAAGCGGCGTAAATAACGTAAAAAAAAAAAAAAAACAAAAAAAAAAAAAAAAAAAATTAGAGCGCTGAAAGTTTTCCTTAAAAGTAACAAGGTAAATTTGTTCACTTAAATAATTTCACTTCCTTCCATCCGTGAAAGAATTATCCTCCCGTAAGTTATCTAAACGTCATGAATGTGCCTTTCGTCAATCGTCAAGCGACGCGAAAGGTTATGACCTGCTTTGTTTTATTTTCGAATTACATTTTTTCGGCACAGAAGCTAAGTTAAGCTTGGTTCAAAATATTTTAAATAAACAGTATAATTTCTGTTTTTATTAAAATTAGTTTTTAAAAATGATAATTGATTTTTAAAAGAATATCAAAGTCAGATTTTAATCTTTTTTATCAAATCGAAAAAAATGATTGAAAATGATTATTTGTCCTTTTTTTTTTTTTGACAAAAAAAAAAAAAAAAAAAAAAAAAAAAACATGTTTAACAAAAATTTCAGACGTGCTAGGAATGATTAAAAAATGTAAAAAAAATACCCCAAAAATACTTTGATCTTTCATCTTTAATAATAATATGAGCATTAGACGATAAAATTTTGTTTTTGTCAAGTTCGGTTTTTTTTCATCATGCTATGCTCTTTTGTTTACATTTCCGTGGGTGAGTTGTCCCCCTTTCATTCTCACAGTGTCTTAATCGTGTTTTCAAATTGATTTTATTAAAAAACAATTGGGTTTTTTTCCCCATTTTCGGCGCCGTTAGAACCACCACAAGGTAATTTTATGTAATCCTGTGAAGTTTTGTTGAAATCGGCTAAAAAAATGTAGGAAATTCGATCCAATATATAAACGTTAGACACACACACACACACACACACACACACACACAATCTGCGTTTTATAATAAGTAAAATAGAAGCTTTCAACTTTACATCAATGAAATTCAGATTGACTGATTAGTTATTTTACCAGCATAACCATCATTATGGTTCATTAATACCAGAACAGTAATGAAATTCAGAAGCTAAGTTAGTTCAATGTATGACCAATGTAGATATGATCGATTGATTGATTGACTGTGTTTAATAGTCCCCTCAACCACTTGTGGGTCATTTAGAGCCAAACTGATTGTATTGTAAACATATTGTATAGTTTCTGAGGTATAATTGAAAGAAAATTTTTCCCCAAGTATGGTAGAGAATAACTTTTATTGTTGGTGAAGAATGATTGAAGCTAAGTTTTATTGTTTGTGTAAACACTTAAAACATTTTTTAAAATATTTTATCATAAAGACCAATCTTTGAGATGTTAAATCTAAGAGTTGGATCATTGTGCATATTTTTTGATCTGTAGCATATCAAAAGGTCATCTACATATAATGAACCATCAACTCCTTGATTTAAGCAATTAACAAAGTTGTTAATTTTTATGTTGAAAATAGTGATGGACAGAATTCAACCTTGTGAAACTCCTTGGATTTTGAGATCCAAGAGAGTGAATCTTACATTAACTTTGAAACTTCTATCTGACAAGAAGTCATTTATCAAACTGGGAAATCTGCTCTTTAATCCAAGATTGCACAAGTCTTTCATTATTCTATATCTGCATGTTGTTTCACAGGCCTTTTCTAGATCAATAGAAAATGGCTATTTTTTTTTTTTTTTTTTATATAAAAGCCTCTCTAACAAATGTTTCTAGGCAAACTATATTGTCTATAGTGCCTCTTTTGTTTCAGAATCCACTGGAAATTGGTAATTAAACCATTAGTTTCAAAGTACCAGTTCAGCCTTTTATTCAATATTCTTAACATATGCAAATTGTTAATGTTATGAGCCAGAAGTTTTCGGGGTATGATTTGTCTTCATCTGATTTTGGCACGAGAATCCCAGTAGCTCATTTCCAGCTATTCAGGAGTTTGCCCTTAAAACACATCTCATTAAAAGATGTTTAACAGATATTTTAAGGATTTGGGGGAGAGATGGTTAAGAAATCCATAATGAATTTCATCTTGGTCAGTACCTGTATTAAGTGATTCGCTTATGAAATCTATAATTATTTTTTAGGGTAAAAGGCTTCTTTGTTAGTCAAGTTAAAGTTCATTTTTTTTTTTTTTTTTTTAAAACATCTTGCTTAACTTTTTGGAATTGCTGTTTGTAGTTTTTGCTAGGGGAAATTTGTTTAAAGGTTTCTATAAGTAGATTTGCTATATCATTTTTACTTATTATTTTTAGAAAGGTGATTTAGAGGAGGTAAGAGATTTTTGGTAGCAACTTTCCTAATCATATTCCAGACTTTTTTTTTTTTTTTTTAGTTTGGAATGGAAGTTTATTTTATTTATGTAATCTTTCCATGATTTTCTTTTAGCTTCTTTGATGGTTCATTTTCATAGTGCTGCTCTATGTAATCTTATTGCTTTACGCAGTCTTCGTTGAATAATGGTCTTTCATGTTCATTAAATTTAGTGCTTTTCAGTACAAATTTTCTTGCATTTGCTATTGTTTTAGAGAAATATTAAAAATATTTTTTTTTTTCAGCATTGGTTTTTATATTTCCTCCAATCCACTTTGTTTAGTTTCCATCAAGGGATATTGTCTTCATTTGGTTCTGAACTCATCAGTATAATTCAGTAGTAATCACTGCTGCATGACTCATGTAACTGCCAACTGTAATACATATAAATAGAAGTCATGCAGTGATAGGTCTTTGTTATTAATTATATTATCCAGTTTTTTTCTTTTTTTCTTAGAGTTCTTGCATCCCTATATAACATTGTCACTGTTAAAGTAGCCTTATCATGAAATGGTTTCAGTAGTTGTTCTCTTAGTTTATTTAGATCGGTTTCTTTTATGGAGTCATGATGTGGGATGTAAATAGAGTAGATATTAATGGTTTTATATAGGGTAGTTTTTGTAGCAACTACTTGTAGATTGTTTTTGTTTTTTTTTTAGATATATTTTGCTTTGGGGTATATCATTTCTGATTAGGAATGATAAGCTCCACAGCTGTTTAAAATGCTTGTTTTTGTCATGTAGAAAAATCCAACATGGCGCTTGAATGAAATATTCAGTGAAAAATCCCATTCATCAGTAACATTTTAAACCCCTTATAGAATGCAAAGTTCTCAAAGCAAACCTGTGCCAAACTGTTTTCCTGAATCCTTGATGACTTGGCCGTCTGAAAATGACGGCATCAAAATGAAATAACGGAAACTGACCGTGGAGAACAATTATGTGCAACAAGTTTTCAATCAGTTAACTTCTAGATGTTTTTGGGCCATGTTATATGATCCAGACGGTTATTGTATGCACATGGAATTATTCACTGGTAATTAATCTTCGATTTGGCTGTGAAAAATATCACTTGGAGGTTAGCATTAAAAAATTATGGCCAATTTTCTGATAAAAATCACTTTTCTTATGAAAAAATATTGTTTTTTTTCACTTCAAAACAATTTTTTTCAAACTTCAATACTTTCTCTTGGTGTAAACATCATTGAATAAAATGAAACACTATATGACCCGACGCTGGGAATTACGAAAGACATGCAGCGAAAAAAAAACAATGTCGTCTGCTAAGTGTTGTTGTCATCACATAGGTCACAAGGTGTTAAAGAACAAAAATCAAGCCATTCTTCAAACACTGGTTGCTGCCTATACTATGCCTGGTTATAGTTTAAGACCATACCCAGGACAACAATGTAGATAAGTTACTTACCGGTTCTCCAATCATTTCAAAGGCATGGCGAAGAATTTTAAATGCTTCCTCAGCCCCAGTTTGAGAATTCTTTACAAAAAAAAAAAAAAAAAAATTAGATAAGTCAAAATTTTATGGCTGAATCAAACGAATTAAAATCTAAATGCAATTTCTTTAATACCCACAATAAAAATAAAATCCAATATATTGACTTACTGGGATATATAAGAAAGCTGATATTAAAGGTTGACTGAGCATCCCAATAAGAGAAAAGAAAAATATATTTGAAACATTTTATAGTTCTATCCCTCAACACAATTTTTCTGTTTTGTAGTTAGTAATTTTTAATTGAATTGACAAAATGAATTACCACAAATCCTTAAAATTATCACAGTTCTCAAGATTTCAATCAGAAACCAACTCAAAAAAAAAAAAAAAAAAAAAAAATTACAATGGCAATAAATTCTAATTCATAAAGAATAATTTATACCTAACAAGATTTCCTAGTTGAGGGAGGTGGGTACTAATACCATTCGCCCAAACAATTTATAAAATGAAATTAAATAACAAGCAAGAAGTAAATTACTGAAGTATTTAAGTGATAAAATATCAAATAGGATCTTTCTTTAAATCCCTAACCTAGTATCGATATTGAACTCACTCCAGGGATTGATGCTAAAGGGAATACGGAAAATTATCCTTAATGTTATTCCCCCCAGCACCGCCAAGTAGATAACGATATTGGGTCCTCAATGCCAGATCATCGGTTGCATCAAACAATGTCAGTAAGAACCAAGTAACAACATCTTTAATTCCAAGGGCGGTCACTGGACATAACAGAAATAGAGATAAGGACACTATGACCTGCCCACTGAATCAATAAACAATTAAAAATAAAAAATAAAAAAAAGTGTGTGTGTGTAAAAATTCTCTGAAGCTTGCCAAATGAAACAGAGGTGTGTGAAGAACCAGACTGAGTTCAATTCAAGCAATATAACATTTTTTTTAATATATATCTAAATTTCTTTACTTTCTCTTTAAGATTTAGATGTATGATTGTACACTTCCTAGTATGTATAAGTATATTCCTATTTGCTTGTATGTTTATGTTCTTTTTCTAATAGTTACTTGTATGTATGTATATTTTGTCATTTCTTTTATGTAGGGTGTGTGTGCATAGTAACAATTACATGAATCATAGGTATGTATACTCGTAATGTTATGTTACTTGTGTAAAATTTACAGTTAAGATATATACATTGGATCTAGAAGTTATATATATATATATATATATATATATATATATATATATATATATATATATATACACACTTTTGTGAATAGATGTGCATGAGTGTACATTTATCTGTGTGCATGTATTTACATTTTTTTGCATGAATACAATAGTGAACATCGATATGTAGATATCGATAAATAAATGCGTTTGGATTATTTATTATACTCCCCCCACCCCTGCATAAATAAATGGACTGCTCCACTATCATTACAGTAGGGCATAAATAACTATTTAAATTATGCAACAATCAATTTTCAATCAGCACCTGATGATTGCATTGGGAGGGGGTTGAGAAACACACACACATATACACAATCTTGATATTTTAGGAATCTTTGAAGCACTTAGAAAAAAAAATTTTTGCCATTATTTTGACATCTAAGATTCTCATAAAAGTAAAAGAAAATTCCTTTTTATGTGACAATTGCTTCAGCTATTTAAAAAAAAAAAAACTTAATATTAAATAAAATTGTCATATAACCAATTTCAGTTTCTTTAACTACAACAATTAAAGCATTGATTAAAACACATTGGCAGTTCAATCCCTAGGTCTGGTAGTGATGGAAAGTCACATATTGGTTTAGCAAAAGAAGCAAGTCGGTGACACAAAGGTGAATAAGGCAGGTGAATATTACGTGATCCAAGTTATCTCCCATACATATGGGAAGCTGAATGAGAACAATCCTTCACTGTGGATTGAATAAAGGATTATGTTTGAAATTACAAAAAAGTTAGAGAGTACAAAGACAGACATCTGAAGGGTAAAATGGCCGAAACATTGCAAGTATAACCAAGCGAGCATGCCAGCCATAATAGCAGACTACATAAAAATCATTCTGTTTAACATTTATCCATATTCTTTAACAACTTTTCACTGATCAGCCAATGACTACCCTACATCATATCAGTATTCTCTTTTACGTTAGGGAACATCAAAAGCTGGTAAGGGCCTGTTTCAGGTTCACAAGTAGAAAAATGAAAACAAATGATATGGTCATAAACAGGAATTCAAACAATGTTTTTAATATTTTTAGGGGGTCTTATTCAGGCATTTTTGTACTTAGTTTGGGTGAATAAGTAGGACAAATTCTGCTATACCAGAGACCAGATCTTCCCTTGTACCAAATCTTTACCCATATCAAAATCTTGATGGTTGATAAACAGGGGACATCAGAGCTACCCAAGGGACAATGTCCCCAACCAAGAAGAGAGCAGAACTGATTTTTTCAATACCAACTGTGACCATTAATATAAACCAACAACTAGAAGTTATTGACCAGCTTCATTGTCACTTGGACCCAAATGTTTTCTTTTACTTATTCTTCTGTTCCATTTCAGTCAAATGGGTGTCAGAAGATCCAACTTCAAACACCCCAGCTATCAGCCATAAAACAAAAACACTCAAAACAGATTAAAAAAAAAAAAAAAAAAAAAAAAAAAAATCACACCTTCCTTTTATGCAGGTGTCCCAATAAAATTAAATAAAAAAGTAGCACTTAAAAAGTGCTATTATTATAAGTTGCCAGTAATGTTTGACTAAGTCAAATCAATCAATGGCAATGTCCACGAATTTGGGCAGATGATGTTTTATCATTTCTATTCTCACAAATCAAGTTTTCTCTGGAGGATTAAAAATACTCCCTCTACAATTGTACAAAAAAGTTTGGAAGGTAGAAAGTATGTAATGAACAACAATCTCTACTGAAATTGCTGAATAACATTATTAAAGCTAATTTTACCATTAAAGATATCTGAAATGGTTTCTTCAACAAGAATATAAGACAGACAATAGATACCTTATCTGGATGCACCAATATAGCCTGTTTCTTGTAATATTTCTTAATATCTTCATCAGTGGAATCAGCTCTCAAGCCTAAGATACTAGAAAAAGAAAAAAAAAAATTGTTAAAATATGAATTTTAAATCGTAAGCAAGTTATTAAAATATAGGTTTAGTATTCTCAAAATGTTGCAATTATGCCTTCTTAAAACCTTGAAATTTGTTGATGAAAAGTGTAATTTGAAGTTAGCAAAATCCTATTCCAAATTTACTTCAGAGAGTTACATAGAAAAATAAAATTCAAGTAACCAATTTCTTTCATGACTTCAATAAAAAGACAATAAAAACCAAAATTTAAAACAGGTAATCAATGAATGAAAGCCACAAAACTTAAAAATGCTGAAATTGTGCAAAGAAAAACAAAAAAAAACAAAAAAAAAAAAACAGCATGTTCAGGACATAATAACCAATCTGAATTTCTGGGATAAGGAGTTATTATTTACATTCAGACTAATAATGTCATCTTTGTTGTTGTTATGACAACATTTCAACAATTGTGCCCTCCAGCTTTCTTCAGGTGTCAGGTGTTCCTTGATCAAGTACCGTATATACTCATATCATGCAACCTTTGAATACCTAATTTTGAAGCTAGTTTGACTACAATAAATGAATATATAGTTTGGTCAACAGCAGAAACGTTGCCTATGTGAATATATATTGGTATATTGATAAATCTCAAAGATTTAAAAATCTCAGAGAGGCTAAGTCTTTGCTGATAGAATGAGGTTCTGTATAGCCTCTAACAAGTTTGGTTCTCGTGACTACTGACGGCTCTATAATAGTGTGTTAAATAAGAGTAAGTCTTCTAGCACTTCAAATGTTGACTCTGGAATATATTTGCCTGACATTCCACTTAGAACCACGTCTCTATTGAGTGATATGCATACAATTCCATCCAAACTCAATCCCTATGAAGTATGTGGACTTGATTGTATCCCTGCAATATTTCTTAACTTTTACCACACTAATTTCTTTTTAGAATTGTTCCCCATGCCACTGCAAATTTTTTTTTTTTTTTGAGTCCACAAAAACAAACACCTACTATTTTAAAGTAGTTATAACTTTCTTTGTATTGTATGTATAGATTTTATTTTTGTATACTAATAAAAGACTGGATGAGTAATGTTTTGATGTAATGCATTATGTAATGCCTGCATGTTTACACATTGAAAACAAAAAATTGAAACAAAATAAAAAAAACAAATACATTAACAATTTAACATACTTCAACTTTTATTACTCCTTGTAGAGTTCTGGGGTGCCATAAGAAGCAAAACCACTATAAAGTCTTTTTATTTGGTCAAAAAAGTGATGTCCTTCATGTTTACATAAGAGAAGATACCAGTATTTGTTTGGTCTTTCTTTCACCTATCATATTTATTAGTCTCATTGACAAATAAAGTTATTTCATCATTTATAAATAGAAAAAATAATTCACCTTCAGAAAGGCTATCTGGTATATCAATGGTTACCAGTAGCTTCCATAAAATTAGTCAGCCATGAATGATTGTAGCCAGTTAGTATCTAGTGGTCATCATCACTTTCCTCCACATCACTAGCATAGTTATCATCTTCAACTACTTAACCATCAATATCCACTTGAGTAAAGCCTTCAAAATCAAGTGTTTATTTATAGCAACTCTCTCAAGACAACATAAGGCACTTAGAGCACAGCAAAAGGAGAGAATTCTATAGCAACAATTTTCATCTCATGGTAAAGGTTAAGAAATGTGCTCCTGAACTGTCTCCTGTACTCTTTAAACTATACAATAAATGCCTTGCTGCTTCTTGTGTTTCTGCTTGTTGGAAATCATCTTCTGTAATTCCAGTCTAAGAATTCAGGCAAAACTTCTTTTTAGCCTTCTACCTCTTTTTGGCAAATTACTAGAGACTAGGAAGACTAGGAATTTTTGAATGGATTCAGTTTTTATCAAATCACAAAATAAAAGTTATCTTGAAGGGCCACTCTTCTAGATCTTTTTATATTAACACAGGTGTTCTCCAGGACTTTGGACCTACATTGTTCCTAATTTTTATCAAAGACCTCACTATGCTGGTGACAACTATTTATTCCGGTCTTAATAGTAAGTCTAATTGGCTCGATAAAGTCAAATTGGCAGGTGATCTCAAAAATGACTTACAATCTGTTGTTAAATGGGGCAAGGAATGTCTTGTTCATTTTAACATTTCCGAATCAAAACTGCTCTCTTTTACTCATGTGAGAGAACTCTTTTTGCCTTCTATCACTTCACCTCGTTGGACTAACACAACATTAAGTGGAAAGATTACATTGAATCAATTGCTAGGTCTGCTGCTAGGGAAGTTGGTTCACAGTGTTGTGCTAGACAATTTTTCTCACATATTTATAAGTCTACCATTTGTTCTTGCTTTGAATACTGCTGCCACATCTGGTCTGGCGCTCACCTTATATATTTAGAGATTCTTCATAAAATCCAAAAGAATTTGCAATGTTATTGGTCCTGGCATCTCAGCTTCAGTCACTTTCCCACCACCACAACATAACCACCTTGTGCCTTTTCTAAAAATATTTTCATAGTAATTGTTCTGATGAACTTTCCTATAGACTTTATAAATTTAAGCACAGTACTAAAGTGGAGCTATGTTTCATCATTTTACAATTGAAATGGTTAAATGTAATATGTTCTATCACACTTCACACCTGTGAAACTTTTCTGACTTCTTGTTTCCTAGTCAACTTTGATCTTCAAAAATTTAAATGCAATGTCAGTCGTTATCTTCAGTCTTCTTAATTCCAGTTATTTTATTGTTCACTCTCCTTAATAGTGTTTTTCTTTTTTCTAATACTCTATCACACTCCATACCCTTTACCTCTGAGTAGTTTTATTGCCTTGCTTGAGTTGATAAAAATAATATTAAATCTAATAGTTTTAAAATCAGAGCATCTTGAAATTTCAATTTTTTTTATTTTTTTTTTTTTTTTACATGCACTGCTTTCAATGAATTTCTGACATGCATAGCTCCAAATATCTTATGTGCTTTAATTTTCATAAAGGTTTATGATGCATTTTGACCATTTTCTGTCCTCCTCATAAAAATTAGAGTACATGAGACACATGTAAGCTCTTTATATTTTTGTAATCTACAGTAAACATTGTCATCAAGTTTCAAATCTGTCCATGCAATGTCCTTGGATCTATGAAGGTCAGAATTTTATAGAAATCAGAATTTAGTATAAAAAAAAAAAAAAAAAGCTTAAAATAAAGTTTTCTACAGATGATACAATAAAATCTTTTAAAAGATAAGGCTGTTTACTTTATTTAGGATCTTTCTTTTGTAAACATTATTAATTTGTTGAATTTCTCTCCACGACTAAGAAAAAAGAGGGAAAAGGAGAGCAAGTGAGGGAGAAAAAAGAGGGGGGAGAAGCAGAGAGAGAGAGAGAGAGAGGGGAGAAGAGGAGAAATTTGTTTTTATGATATGATCAATACAAGTACACAATTTATAATTCAGTTTTTGTCATTTAAGTATGTCAAGAAAAAAAATTAAGCCAAATGAAACATTTACCTATAGGGATCCTTTCCACGACAACTCAATAAACGTTGCATAGCTTCTTCACCTACAAAAGAGAAAAGAATTTAAGCATTCAATTAACAAATGGCATATTAATTGTTCTTAACTACTAATCAAAGACATGCAATAATGCAGTTCTAATAGAGAAAAATACTATCATGCTCATAAATAGACCTCACCTATTTAGAGGCACACTTCCTCTAACCATTCAACCAACATAAATGATACTAGTAAATAACCACCCCCAGCATGGGGTCTTAAAAAAAAAAAAATTTCTTAAACCCTCATTCCCTTTAATCCTCTAGTAACCCATGTGTATGTTGTGTGTATGTGGAACGGTCAACACCAAGTGACAACAGAGCTTCATTCTCCAATGCCATCTTCAGGCTATGTGTGGCTCAACTTTATATATGTAAAATTTCAGATAGAACATATCTGTAAAAGGACAATAAGAACAAAGACAAAAGGAAAACACCACTAAACTAATTGAGTTTCTTTTTTCCAGGTTTTCAGATAAGACATTTAGCCATCTTGACATCATTTGTTGTAAGGATCACTGAAAACCCTTTGAATTATTCAGCTAGAAAGAGAACAGGTTAAAATCGTTGTGTCAGCCCCACTGTCTTCCCAACTGAACAATGGTAAGAGAAAAAAGATCATTCAGACCTTCGGTAATGGTACCAAAATTCATACTCTTCCATCTTCAAAGTCCATTCAAGAACCATCAAGAGAACATTGAATAATTTTAAAAAAAAGAGGTAACAGTAAAGAAGAAAACTGGATCAGGAGATCACAACAGGAAGAGGATCATCATTTCAACTTAGAGGTAAAGAGATCAATTAGAAAAGATCCAACTCAATCCACAAGATGTTTGGCACATAAGAGAGGAGATTCAGCTATGACAGTCCAAAGAGCAGAGAAAAAAAACCTTGAAAATGAAATCATATGCAAAAAAGTGAGACACCTTGTTACTCCAGGACAGAAACTTAGAAGGTTAGAGAGGGCAAAGATCATCTTGAATAAGTTGCAAAATGATTCTGGATTTATATATATATATATATATATTCTATTTCAAGCCTTCATGAGTTTCCGATCCTTAGCTACAGTGCTGTGTGAAAAAAGTGACTGTCAAATTTTTTTGGAAAAAATTCTTTTTCTGAACATTTTGAATAAAAAATAGTTTAAAAAAAAAATTTGCATATAAAGTAAGGGAAATGATATATTGTCTAAAATTTTACAAAAAAAATTCTTAAGAAACAAACCTAAAGCATGTTATTTTTTTTAAGGTAAATATTTACTGTGCAAAAAAAAAAAAAAAAGACTCCTTTTTTATACTGTATTAATTATGTACAAAGTTAATCTAATATTTTCTTAAAAAATAAAATTTAATAAAATAAAAATAAAAGAAAAATTTTATTAGTAATTTATGCTTCCACCTTTGTTTTTCAGAACTTTGTTGACTGTCCAGCATACTGTTAATGAGATTTTTGCAGATGTCCTGTCCTAGCAAACTGTTTCACTCCACAATAAAATTTCCAATCAAAACTTCTTTGCTTCAAATGATTTTCTTCATAAATTCTCAATTTGTTTTAGGTCAGAAAATTGTAGTGGCATACAATAACATTGACGGACATTTTTTTTTTTTTTCAGAAAAATAATTTTTCATCTGCTTTGATGTGTGGCAGGGAGCATTGTCTTGCATAAAAATGAGATTTGATTGATCAATTTCAAGTTTTTTGGCAAATAGCAGCAAGCAAGTTTCCAATATTTTGGAGTATTGAGTGCAGCATCTTGTCTACTAGTTTGAAAAATCCAGTCCTATTGAATGAGAAGCAACCCCCAACCATAAAATTGACAGGATGCTTCAAAGTATTAACTGTCATTTTCAAAGGGTTTTCTTCGCCCCTCCATCTGATTTTCATTCTTTTGTTTTTTAAAAAACATTTCAAATTTTGTCTTGTTGGAGAAAAGAACATTTTTCCAATCAGATTCAGTGAAGGACTTAAGTGTTTGCCCTTGCTAAACAGTGTGTTTTATTTAGAAGTAGCTTAAAAACTTGAATAGGCTTTGTAACCGTCTTTCAAGAGCCATCTGTTTACAGTAGAGAATTTGACACTTCAAGATCATTTTTCATGGTAGCGGGAACATCTGTACTGTTAATTGACCAGTTTTGCTTAATTTTTCTAATGATTTTACAGCCAGTTCTCTCATCAATCTTGTGTTTTCTACCATGACAAATGTTTCATTGGAATTGAAGCTTCTCAAAACCCTCAAGACAGTTGACTGAGAAGTGTTGATACTATTTGCAAATTCTCAAGTCAATTTACCAGCTTTTGATAGGGCAACTATTGCTACTTTAACAGATGGTGGTGTGTGCTTATTGAGTTTCTTAAATCACTAATTATATTTTTGGTTTCTTTTATATATTTTAAAAATAATTCTAGAATTTTCTAGTATTTTTAAGAATGTTCTGAAATAAAATTAGAAGGGGTTTTAAAATAATGACATTTTTTAATGAGTCACTTTCTTTGCACAGTAGAAAACTTGTTAAATACTTGTTGTGGAGTGATTTCACAGTGGAGGCTTGTATTTGTACTAAGTCGGTCCTAAATTAGGTTTGATGTACAAAATGTTAGGAACTTGATATAATAGGTATAATGCAGAGTAATCTAGTTGTGATCGCTGATACTTTAGTATTCAACTAACAGTCGTCCGACATCGACTGACTGACCAAGTAGCACTGAGCGACCGATTCGTTACTCTTACTACTCCTACTTATTATAGGTGGCAGAGTCTATTAACTATAGAATAGGTGTGTTCCACTATAACATCCCCACCCCTAAAACTTCACTCCATAGGAGTAAATAGTTTTCTTTATTTTTCATTTTTTACAGGAAATATGAAGAAAAATCCAAAAAAAAAAAAAAAAAAAAACACCATTTTTTTAAGCAACTCTTACATTTTTGATCCACTTTTAAATGATCAGTTGCCTTTCTTTTTTCTCCTGGATCGGCGTACCACAGGTAAAATTGTTGCAGGTGTTGTTAGATCAAACATATTGAAAATCACCTCCATTGGCATTTCTTCGGCGGGATCGCTGTCAACCACGTCTGAAAAACGTTGTCTGATCTGGTTACTGCATGTGAATTTTTCGCCTTTCACCAAGTACATCATATTGCCAATCCGCTTTTCTATTTTTTGGTACCTCCATAGTGTTACCAGAAACAACCTTCCGCTTTGAGCTTCTTAAGGATGGAGTCACAGTTTCTGTAGGTTCTTCCTGTGGTTCTATTTGTTCAGCCTCTAGCTTCCCTTTTGTTGATCTTGTGCTTCTTAACGTTTTCTGTGGTGACTTCAGTTGACTTAAATTATTTAATAATACTGCATGTCCTTGGCTGCAGGTAACTCGCTACCCAGTTTTTCTTGGTGTCGGCTTCATCTTTACTTTCTGGAGCTTGTTTTTCACGTACATCGTCGGTGTTACCCATTCAACTTTTTTAAATACACCGGTTTTCTCTAAGCTGTCCAATTCTTTATCTATCTGTTCAATTGAAGCAAACAACACATTCCTTTTCTTTTTTAATACCGACTGAGCGTTTTCTTTTGGTTAGAATTTTGCCTCCATCTTGGTACACATTCCCAAACCTGGAGAAAAAACAGTAGGAAATGTTCCCTTAAGTTTCTTTACTAATATTTGGGCTTCGAAGTTTAAAGTTTCTACCTTGTAACAGAAACAATTTATCGGTAGATCCCATAATTGGAATTCTGTTATCCAATTCGTACCAAGTAAGTTCGTGGTATTTTCTATGACAAATATTTTTTTTATTTAACGTGACGTTTGTAACAAATTCGCCAATAAATTGTATTTTTTCTCCCGTCATTGACCTCACGATATTCTTTGTCTTCATTAACATTGGTTTCCACAACTTCTTCCACGTATGCAAATTTATGATAATAGGTCGGAACCAGTGTCGAGTTGCATTTTTATTGTTTTATTACTTATTTCGACGGTAACAAATTTTCTGGTTGTTCCATCATTCACCTCATTGGACTTTAATTTTCTTATTTTATTGTCTTTATTTTTTGACCTGCAGTGCGTGTTTTTATGACCCACTCTTTTACAGTTGAAACATTTTTTATTCCTAAAATTGCAATATCTGTACGAGTGAAGTTCACCGCAAGCAAAACATGGCTTCAGGAGTTTTTGTTTATTTTTCTCTGGTATTTCACTTTTTATTTGATAATCCGCAATTTTAGAATTCTTTTTGGTAGACTCACTTTCTTTTTTGTCAGTATTTTCCTTACATGCGAAACGCCAGACTGTTCTATCTTTTTCAAATCTTTCTTTACGCTAACATATCTTGTGCAGTCTTCTGCCAACTTCTGTATCGTAATCCTTGGTTTGTTTTCCAATTTTGACAGCACTAATTTTCTCACCTCTGCATCTCTTTCCGATACCAGCCCCTGAACAAACACTAAGCACTTAAAATTGTCTGCGCTTAAGTCTGCTAGCTTGAATTCTTCACAATGCTTGTTCATATTGGCTGCATACGTTATATAGTCTTGTTCGTCATCTTTCATCAGATTCAAACATTTCCACCTCTTGTGAAACAAAGAGGTCTTTTTACTAAATAATTCACTTAATATATTTACCGCCTCAGTAAATGTCAACTCGCTAGTTTTTTTTGTTTTTTTTTCGGTAAAACGTAGTTTACCAATTTGTTATGCTCAGCAGTTCCTAATTTGCTTAAAAGAAGCCTAACCTTCTTTCCTTCAGACCATGAGTGGCAGTCCTCGTTATACATGTCCGTATATTTTTTTATAATACTCCTCAAAAGTTATCTCTTCATCTGGACTGTACGTGAATATTTCAATTGAATTCCATATTGTATTCTCTGGGAAAGAATCATTTTGGAGATTTTTCTCTTTCCTCTTCTCAGTTATTTACAGAATTTTGTTTTGAAACTCCCTATGCATCTGTTCAATTTCTTGTTGAAACTGCATTTGTCTATTAAAAATTTCCTCCTGTAGCTGCATCTGGAATATTCTCTGTTGCTCTAATATTGTCATCTGTTGTTCTGACTGGAACTTAAAAAATTCCCAGAATATATTTTTGCATTCCTCCATCTTCGCAAAAAGTATTGTAGAGGGGGGGTCCTACGAATTAGCAATTCGTTACCTATTTGAGCAAGATGTCTTATTGAGAAAAAGAAAAAAAAATTCTTTTCTCAGTTAAGAATACGACTGATTTTTTCGTCACTAAGTTGATGTCTTGTCTTTCAAAAAACTTTGCCAAGTTTTTTTTTTTTAAGTGCGAATCCGAGATGTCGCCAAAATTATTGTGACGCGCAAGTTTTCCTCCATATGAGTACAAATTTCGTCACCAAATAATATTGTGGCAAGCGAATTTTTTTTTTTCTTCCACCGTATGAATCCGAATCTTCGTCGCCAAATTATACTGTGGTGAACGATTTTTTTTTTTTTCTTCGTACGAGCTCAAATCCTTGTGGCCAAATTTGTTATGGAGTGATTTCACAGTGGAGGCTTGTATTTGTACTAAGTCGGTCCTAAATTAGGTTCGACGTACAAAACGTTAGGAACTTGATATAATAGGTATAACGCAGAGTAATCGAGTTGTGGTCGCTGATACTTTAGTATTCGACTAACAGTCGCCCAACATCGACTGACTGACCGACCAACTAGCACTGAGCAACTGACTCATTACTCTTACTACTCCTACTTATTATAGGTAGGAGAGTAACTATAGAATAGGTGTGTTTCACTATAACAATACTAAAAAAAAAATTAAAAAAATAAAAAAACAAAAATTAAATTTACTAATAATATGCATATTTTTAACTGAAAAAATAAATAAAAAATTTGTAATAAAAGTTAAAAATAATTGAAAAAATTATTGCATAGTCTTTTTTTTGCACAATACTGTATTAATTAATGATGAAAATGTCATTTTCATTTATGATCAATTTCACCACAATTCTTCTGTTAAGCTTAAAGAGTAATTATACATTCTTATTGCTCAAAGTAGAGTCCAATAGTGTCATAAAAGTACGATATCTTTAATCATCTCTAAGATACAAAGGTTCAGAGCTTAATCTAACAATTGGACAATTTTGTTACACGATTTGGACAATTTTGCAGTTACACTTGGTGTGTGTATATATATATATATATATATAAAAAACCTGCTAAATGTGTAGTGTCACCGTCTGTAGATTGCAATAGAAGATGAAAATGATAATTAACACTCCATGGTTTCATCCCTAGATAGACTTTATTAAGATAAATGTAAGGATTTTTATTTTGCAACCTGTATTTAGAAACAAGTGTTCAAAATTTTATATTCAAGAATGCTCTAAAATATTCTTAAACCTAACTGTGTAGGTAAAGGTAATGGAGGACACAAAGTGATGTAATTTAATGCTTAATAGACAAAAGTAAGTCAATGTTGAATTTTATTTTCACACACACATATATATATATATATATATATATATATATATATATATATATATATATATATATAAAAAAAAATTTAATTATTTTATTTTTTATTTTAATTTGATAAATTATTTATGCATTTATTTTAAATAGGTCATGAGTTAACATTTTTCTTTTAATTTAATGGCTGCTCTCAGTGAATGAATGCTGAATGTTTCCATATAAAGAAACAGCTAACATTTTCATTACTACTTTGTCACATTGCGTTCTCATTCAGATAACCTTTTCTTCAAAACAAAGTGCTTCACAAAAATAAAACAAGAATTTACAGATTATCAAATTTTATAGGAAATTTTTTTAATCCAAATCTTTCCTTCTAATACACAAGAGAGATTTTATAAAACTTATTTCTAATACAAATGTATATAAACAGGAAAAAATCTTCATTGACCAAATCACTATTCTGAGCTCGAGCCCTTATATATTTCCAATAAAATACAAGTTTAGGTCTTTTCTTAAGGTTAATTTTTGAGAGAGAGAGAGAGAGAGATCATAAAGAAAAGTTAGTTTTATAAATACTGATATTGTTTATTATGAGAAGATAGCAGGGGAGGAGGTTCAGCTCCAAAAATCCAGGGCCAAAATACTAAAGGTCATAAATCAGTCTTGCAAATTCAACCTTAGAAAATGCCAAGGTTATAAATCCAAAGGGGTAAAAACTCCACATCCACAATTTGCAACACACAACTACGTTCATCCACAAAGAGATAAGAGCCCCTCTGTCATCCACAAAGAGATAAGAGCCCCTCTGTCATCCACAAAGAGATAAGAGCCCCTCTGTCATCCACAAAGAGATAAGAGCCCCTCTGTCATCCACAAAGAGATAAGATATCCACAAAGAGATAAGAGCCCCTCTGTCATCCACAAAGAGATAAGAGCCCCTCTGTCATCCACAAAGAGATAAGAGCCCCTCTGTCATCCACAAAGAGATAAGAGCCCCTCTGTCATCCACAAAGAGATAAGAGCCCCTCTGTCATCCACAAAGAGATAAGAGCCCTCTGTCATCCACAAAGAGATAAGAGCCCCTCTCCACAAAGTCATCCCCCTCTGTCATCCACAAAGAGATAAGAGCCCCTCTGTCATCCACAAAGAGATAAGAGCCCCTCTGTCATCCACGGTAACATTCTTTTATTGGGGGTAAGACAGGTTGTCATTGGTCAAGACTGGTAGGGAAGTGAAAACAATTACTATATTTCAAGGCTGACAAATATCAACCTGATCTTGATTCTGATTTTCTTTTTCGACAGAGAGCACAGAGAAGACAAATTCTTTTTCAAGGTAAGACTTGGTCTTCTCCATTGTTGCCACAAATAAACTGAAAGTCTACAAAGTGCAATGGAAGACAGTCTAAAGATATTGGTTGATTAATTCATTTTTTACAGCTTATCAACCCTTTTGCATGTTATTTAAAGCCACTGTCCATTACATCACCTGGTATACTTGAGTGGTCACCCATCTAGGTACTGACCAGGCTTGATATTGCTTAATTTCGGTGATCATACAGGAATCGGTGTTTCAACATGATATGGCTGTAAGCATTAAGGATACTGGTGGCCCCTCAGACAAAGCATACATATCAAAATGTATATCAGGCAAGTTAAAAGATTGATTTTTTTTTTTTTTTTTTTTTACAGTTTATCAATCCTTTATAGTTTATTTAAAGCTGAAACATTCTTGGAATGTAAGAATTTTTTCTAAGTGAATAATATCACATTAACAGTTTCTTGGAGATAAGGATTTTTCCAGATACAAGTCCTACTATCTAACCCATAGTGGGGGTGAGGGAGACTAGATGAATCCATACCTTCCCCGAGGGTATTTATATGTTAGTGAATGTCATGAACTTAACTTAGCCCTGTTATCTCATTCTGAGCCACTATTCATTACACCACCCACACATCCTAAGCTACAAGAAGCATAAGCATTTGAACAGCCTTGTGGGTGATGAATTATCCCCCCCACACATACGACCTGTTCCCACTGATGAAGCACAGTGAGTCTCTTATTCTCTATCACTATTTTCATGGTAGATGTTCAAGGAAACTACATTCTTTGGTTTCATCAGTCCAGACCTCCACAACTAAGACACACTAGACCACATACATTCCTTCATATTCCATTGATAAGGAAGAAGTTCTACTCAGACAGCAAACATCCTTGAGAACATACTCCAAAAAGGCTGCTTCCCTGATCACTACAATCTTAACTTCTTCAAGTCAAGGATTAACCATTATCTATCCTACATATCCTCATAATCTGCACTTCTTGCTCCCTACTTGTATGGCCTTACAACAATGTCATTTAGTAACACTACCTTGAGTGTCTCTTGGGCCTTATATTGGGTGAACAAAAAAAAAAAAAAATGAAAGCAAGAGACTTACCAGTACTAGGAAGTTTAATGTTTTCATCAAGACCAATTTTGCGGCTAGTTTTGTCATCACCTTTTTTCCATTTCCATGCCCGAGAGTACTTCTTCCAAATTCTAGACACAAATACATTCCAGACCTTAGACCCAACCAAAATCATCAAATGCACAAGACCAGTCACACTGAAAAAGAAAAGATAACAAAAATATCAAAACCTACAGAAAAAGAAAAAATTAAAAAATATGTGAGTGAGTGAAAGATTTGTCGATCTGCCATTCCTTGTCCCCAAATACTAAAAACAGTATTCTTGGTGACAACACTTGGCAGTGCTTTTGATCTTCATGGCCAATGCATGCCAACATCAACAAGCTGGGAGGTAGGTAAGATTCTATGAGAATTTTGACCAGTGTTTACTATGATTTTGCAGAGAATTCAGCTGTGAAATCTTTGCAGCCATGGTAACTTCTTTGCTGAAAACCAATTTCCCAGCACAAACCAACAAACTATTGATAACTACCAACAGGTTTTAATGGAAAAAAATTGAAGAAATTAAAAGTCTATAAGGAGTAAAGAATTATTAATTTGTCTATGTGGCCAGGTTGACAATCTTTCAGTAGGAAAGTTATTCTAGCAGTAATTTGTAATAATTTGAGAGACCTTAGTCTTGTCATCTGGTCTCTCCATCTCTATCTCATTATGATTGGGTTCATATAGAAAAGTTTGAGCACTTCTGACACTGATTTGTTGAATATTTTTCAATAAGATAGTCATGACCTTTGTCTGTTAACAGATGGCTGTGTGTAGAATATAATCGGGTCAAGCACCTGATGTTGAATTTTTGGTAAAAATTCAAACATTTGTGGGATCCAATAGAACTTTAAACATAGCAAGAATTCTTTGGAATTTGAGAAATTTTAAAAGAGCATAACTTTTCTCATAGAGCCCTGGAGGCAACTGGGTAGTTTGAGGAACATTTAGTTTATTTTTTTTTTTTTTAATCATTTGTCCCCAAACAAGGCAATAAAGCCTCTAAGACACAAGAGGTTACTAATTTGGGAAGTTTAGGTACCATAGGGGGAAATTCATCAGAACAATTACCATGAAGGTGTTCATAGAAAAGTCATAGGGAAGTTACATTACTGCAGTAGGAAAGTGAGTGAATCCAAAATACCAGGTTAGGACCAATAAAATTGCAGATTCTTCTTTGTATTTTATCAAGAATTTCTAAATATATAGCAGGAGCACCAGACCAGATGTGACAGCAACATTCAATGCAAGGATGAATGGTAGATTTGTAAATGTGTAAGAAAGCTTCTATTAAGAAGAATTGTCTAACACCACACAGTGGACCAAGCAATGGATTCAATATAATCTTTCCACTTCATTTCAGTGGAAAATGTTAGCCCAAGAAGGTGTAATGATTCACTCTTCTGGAGGTTAGCGTCAGCCATGCTGATAGAAGGCAGAAAGGATTCTCTGATATAACTAAAAGAGCAGTTTTATTTTGGAGGTATTAAAATTAACAAGCAATTCTTTGTCCCAGTAAACAATCTGCCAATTTTACTTTATCAAAATGATTAGAATTACTATTAAGACAAGAGCAAATAGTTGTGTCATCAGCATAGATAACAAGTTGATAACTGATGAAATCAGGTAGAGTGACCATACAAGACAATTTTCATTTCCTGATTTGATAAGATTGAATCAGTCCAAAAATTCATCCAGAAATACCAGGACTTTTTAACTTGTTAAGAAAATCAGCATGACAAACCCTGTCAAAAGCCTTCAAGACATCTAAAGCAACAGCCTGAGCTTCAGTTTTTATTGAAAACTTGATACTCTTTCAGCGTTAACTGTTAATACATCAGCTGTTGACCTAGAGAAATAAAAGTCATATTGCTTATCTGAAAGAATATGCTTAACCAATTCAGTGTTGATGAGTGCTTCTAATAATTTGTTAAAGACAGCTAAAAGGTTAATAGGCCAATAGAATTATCAAAGTGTTTGCCCAAATTCTTAAAGATTGGAAGTACCAAAGAGGATTTTCAACAAGCTGAAAAGCAAGAAGCAGGAAGGCATTTGTTGTAAATTTTAAAGAGAACAGCACAGCTTAATGAATTCTACTTGGTTTATTTCAGGTATGAATCTTCCAAGCGTCTTCTCCAAACTCATTTTATAGCTTCTAATTATTATTTCTAATCCATTCTTTCTTTCCTTTTTCTCTTCAAATCTTAATTATTTTCCCTGAATTCCACCCCCTTAGAAAAAGGGTTACTACCCAGTTATATTCTTCATCACTGAGTGAAACTGAATAGACAGAACTGTTCAGAAACCATCAATGGTTGTGCAGTCAAAGTCATAGTGACCAATGATTGTGTACAATTGCCTTGTTCACATTTATTGATCACACCAGATTTTGCAATCTCCTAGAAACTGTAATTAAAGTCCACTTAGCATAGTTGCAATATAAACCAGAGCCAACCACCCTGGCAAACAGGTGTGCTCAGAAATGAATAGTAGCCAGTCATAATATATTCCACATGCACTAAAACTTTGAACTAAGGTTACCACTCTGTTGATCTCTCTCCGGATTATCTCAGAAGTGTGCTGGTCAAACTGTCTCCAAGCAGAAAGAATCCCCAGACAAGGCTATGTCAAAGGGCAGAGTTTCATCTCGGGAGACAGCTACCTGACCCCATTTTTTACGGGGTCTACAGGGAATTTTTGGCCGAGCCTACAGGCTCAGATACACCACAATAAACTCAGTCTTGTGCCACATCCAACCATGTGGGGCAGTTAGTAAATATCCTACTCTGTTGTTACATGCAGATTTGGTTTGGTTTGTTTGGAGGTTCACTAATTGCTCATAGCTGGGACCCTAATAGAGTGGGCCTGGGAATGACAGTAATTAAGTGGCTCCCTACTCCTCAAAACCACCCTCTCAGAGGCCTTGCTGCCAGATGTAGTTTATCACCATACCCAGGATGGATATAAATATTTTCCTAGATATAGCACAAATGTAATTTATTTTATTGCCTACTGCCAAGAGGTTACTTTTTCTTTTTTTTTTTGGTTTTAGGACAACGACAATGATCCACACACACACAATGGTTAAGAATCATTACTTTTCAAACATTGTCCAATCTATTACTCAAACTAGTTACAAAGAGATTTCAAATTTAAGTTCCATTAAGTATATTGTTAAACACAATTCAGAAGACTTCTTGGAATGAGAAACAAGAAAGAAAAAAAAAATCTAACTACTGAACATGAAACAGCTGGTGAGTAATGACATTTAAAAAGAACCAATATTTTATGACTAATACTAGTTTTAAACTATTCAAACAAAATATAAGAGAAAAAGAATGAACAATCATTTTTATTATTGACCCAATTTCAGAAAACATCAAAGAACATGCAGTTTATTTTCAGCAATAAACTGAATCTTATTTTAAATTTCACTTTTATTATACATTTTATATATTTTAAATTTTATGAAAAGAAAAAAATCCAATCAATATATAAAATTTTGTTACTTCAATTAGTCCATCCATCACACCCTCTAAAATAGCCATACACTGACCAATCAAAACCAAACTTTTGGGAGAAGTGCAAACAAGGGGGGTTGCAAATTAATACAGTTGGTTTTACAAGAATATGGAGCTTAGTACAATAAATTTTCATTAATTTTTTTGGAAAAACTAAGTTTCATTATTTAGCATACAAAATACTCCCACTATTTTAAAAACAACTTAATGATTAAAATAACAAATACTTATTTAATAAAAATGCAATATTGTTGCTTGTGTATCTAAGTTTTTTTTACATTTTATGGATTGGTTTGCGAAATTGAACGAAATGTAGAGTTTGTAAATCTTGACAAAAAAAAAAAAAAAAGTTTGCAACAACTTTAACAATACTAAACACATGTCAGCATGTTACCAAAAAGTTCTGCTAAAAATTTTTCAATTTATTTAAAGTTTTCTGAAAATTTCACTTTCACTAAAATTCATATTTATTCAGTGTATGAAATAAAATCATTTGCCGTTTCTTAATTAGAAATAATCGTGAAATATGAAATTTAATTTTCAGCTATTTTTATTAGTTCATGGATATTCAGAATGTGTAAAAATACCCAAACCTTATCAGGTAAGTGCCTTTTGTTCATTTGGGGTTTTGCAACATCTTAATTCTTCAAATTATGTAACATTTAAAAAGAAATGCAACAGTCTTAATTTTAACCTAATTTATTGCTTTAGAAAAATAAAATAAAAAGATTGCTTGTCAGAAAACAAGGTTAACAGTTCCCCCAGAGTAATGGTATTAAATTGTAAATATTAATTTTTTCTTTTGATAAAACTGGTAAAGAAACAAAAGCTAAACAATTATGTTAGTTTTGATATCTATTTTATCATCATTCAGATGCCCTACATATGTTGATCTTTGTGTTTTAGTTTAGTAACCTATTATCAAGAGGAAAAAAATTTATACACTATTTTAGCCTAAAAATTATGGAGTTTTATCTCCTTAATTCAGTTGAAAATTGGATTTCTCTGGCAGTCTCTAGATTTCCAAGCAATTTGCAATTATAGAACTTAAAAAAACTAGTTTGAAAAAAATAAGTTTTGAAAAACAAAATTATAAATTATTATCTTATCAGAACAAAATAATCAATTAAAAAAAAAAAAATAAAAAAATTGTACAAAGATTGAGTCATTCAGTGCAATTCATATAAAATTAAATAGGCAAATGACCTATTTTTTAAGAATGATTACAAAAGAATTAAAAAACATTGTTCATAACTAGTGAAATAGGAGTAGACAAATTAGAAAAACTTGAATATATATATAAAAGAGAGATACTCACATGGCTAGGACTAATACCACAGAAGTAACAGTCATCATCCAGAGTTGATGAATCAACCATCGTAGCTTAGACTTGACAACCTTGCCATAATCATCTGTGAAAAGCCACATTATAAAAAGGTAAACACTACATTAATCCATAAGATGACACAGAGAAAGAAAAGAAAAGAAAAAAAAAAAACAAAGAATGTAAGTAAGATCACATGATGTATATTTTTAACCAATTATCTTTTTTTAACAATAACAGGAATATAGAACTTGAAAAGTTAAGCAAAAAAAAAAAAGAAAAAAAAAAAAGGAATAAGCTTTCAAGCTAGACTTTATCACATCACCTGAATAAGCTCTTTTTTATATAAAGCATTCACACAGAAAAAAAAAATCTGACAGGTTTTAACATGAATCTAGAACTAGATTAGACAAGGATAAAAATTAATTTTTTTCTATACTCAGAACACTAAATTGTTTTAAAAGTAATTTTAAAAATATTTTCAACTTCTCAAGGAAAAAGAAAAAAAAAAAAAAAGAAAGTGTGAATATGTCAATGAAATAAATTGTTTTTTTTGCATCATCCAAGGAATTTTTAAATATTAAGTTTTTCTTTCATAGCTCAATTATAGTATGTAAAGTTGGCTTTAGCAAAATGTGGCAACAATTTACTAAATTCTTAGTGTTCATGTATTTCTCCCTTATGTCTCATTGTGTTTTATTCACTTATTAAATTATAAGTGAAATAAATTCATCATCATTTTCTTTAGGTTATTCAGTGGTTTTTCTAAAGTGGAATAGATGATCTAATTATAAATGATTTCTTGCAAAATTTGCAGCTCTAGAAATACTTGGTTAATCCCAAATTGAAAGATATTTACCCAAACAAAACTAGTTTTTACAAAACACAGTAACATATTGACATTTACTAATGCAAGCTGTTATTTTGTTTACACAAACAAAAGTCAATCATTCTAATGGACAGGGGGAGAAATCAAATCAAAAAAACTGATCAGTACTAAGATCACTCTGGCCAAGAGAAAAACAACTATTTTTTTTTTGTTTTTTTTTTTTTTTAACAGGGCTCCTAAATGCTTAAATAAATAATAATTGAAATAAACAATGTTAAAACCAGTTTTTATAAATGACAATGTTGAAAAGATTGTTGGTTGGCCGTTTTTGTCTAGCAGCATTAACAAGTATGGGTTATTTAATACTAAAATCTAAATATTTTGTACAGTGTTTTTGTTTTTGTTGTGTGTGATAATAATGGTTTTAGTGATACAAGTCTTACTAATTAATCCATAGCTGGGGAGGACAAGAGGTGGATTCATACCTTTCCCCAGGGGTATTTGCACATAAGTAAATATAATGAACCCAAGTAGCAATTCCAAGCCATTATCCATTACACCATCCAAGCTTACAGAACCTGGTATTTCCAAGCGGTCACCCATCTAGGTACTGACCAGGCTCCACGTTGCTTAAATTCAACCAGTGGTTCAATATGATATGACTGTAATTCCCATGTTGAAAAGAGTATTTCATGAAAATCTAAGCAGTTTCTATCAACACTGAAAATTTTCAAATACCACCTTCCTGTCTTTGATTGAAAGCTATTTAGAGTTCTGACATATATATATATATATATATATATATATATATATATTGATTGATGCCTATTTGGATAGCAACCTTTCTTTTAAACATTTCTTTAAAGAAAGACAAGTTTTTTGGGGGTTTTTTTTCTTTTATCCCAGCATTATATATATATATATATATATATATATATATATATATTTTCACACGGTGCTATGGGTAAATTGTCACCATTTTAGATTTTTAATTTCTTGTATGCACATTGTTTTTATTTTATTTTCTCAACTGTGCTGTATAGTAGGAGAAAAAGAGCACCATGATGAAATTCACTCCACCAGAAATTTGGAAATGACATGCTGTACTGCCTGGCACCAGAAGTTCCAATACAGACATTTCAGAATGTTTGGGTGACAGTGCAGAGGATTTACAAAGAGACCGAGGAGTCTAATGGTGATTACAAAGGTATGGCAGCTCATAAAACTCTCTGATCATTCTGATAAGAACAGAACTCCCAAATTTATTGGTGAAGGCCTCAGCATGGAGATCTACATCATGTGCCTTGAGGAGGTAGTGCTGCCCTGAATCAAGAGGGTAGCTGCTGGAAAACCCTATGTCTGGCCAGAGGACACTGCACCATGCAACACAAGCAGGAGAACCCAGTCATGACTGTCAGACAATTTCTGCAACCACATCACCCCTTACATCTGGCCACCTAACTCCCCAGATTGCAACCCCTTTGATTATGTGTAGGACACAGTTGGGCGAGAAACCAACAAAACTCCTTGTAACACCAAAGATGAACTATTCACCAACTTAAACAAGGAAACCATCCAAAAGAGTTGCAGGAGATTTTGAAGTTGTCTGGAGGCCATGGTTGAAGTCAATGGTGATGTTATTGAATAAATTTACTCTTTAGTATTTCAAGATATTTTTGTGTAATTTTGGTAAATATATCTCTTAAAATGTGATGTTAGTGTTATTTTCATTTTTGTGTAATTTAGATGACAATTTATCCATCACACCCTGTATATATGTTTCATTAAATGACAACTGACAAAGTACTGTGATTAAGCATTTTATTTAATTTTTCTTGTGTTCATGCAAGCATTTTCTTTTCTAGGCACAATTTATGTAAAAATGTGCTGACCGTTTTTGGAAAATAAAACATTCCTATAATTTTCAGATACATCCATATAAAATAAAAACACACACACATTCAAAAAAATGTCTTTGATAATGGCTAAAAGAATAACTGAAAGCACTCAGATATGCAGGACTTTTGGTCAGTTTTTTTTTTTTTTTGGTGTCTAGAAAAGGAAACACTTGTACGAACACAAGAAAAATTAAAATAAAAAGCAGTACCTTGTCAGTCGTATTTAAAATAACGTGTATAAAAGAGGGAATTAATATACACATTATTCCTCACCAATAGCAGAGCTCAGAGTTCCATGCCCAATGAAATCTTCAGACGCAGAGTATAGTCTAACAGTTACCAGATTTAAACTTTAACAAAAAATATCCGGTTATTGCAATGCTGGCGCAGTCATATATTATACTGGGATTACAGTTTTTTTAATTTAATAAAATATATTTGGCATATATATGCATAAAAAAAAAAAAAAATTATTTTGGAAATGTGAATATTAATTTTTTTTATATATTAAGCAAAAAAAGACTATAATTTACATTAAACATTAATGTGGATCAATATATTTCAGCAGATATATATTTTACGTGTTAGATTATCTAAATTTCAAATCATGTGTGCATGTTAAATTATCTTAATTCCAAATCAGACCTCTCTCCAACATTACAAAATGTTGGATGTATGAATGACAATCAACACTACTTCTCGTTCAACATTTTATGCACACCAGTACCCACTAGCTCTGGAGTACTAGAGATTTATATTGATATATGAACTCCAAGAGGATCCTTTTATAGTCATTACTACGCCTTTCCACAATCAACAATGATTCAGACTCTTCATAATCTATAATGACAAGAGTATCATCAGAATGCTGGTTTTCAAATAGACCATGTTTAGTGGTCAAGTTATCATTTTCTTGAAACATTTATGAACTTTTGCATGGACAGTTTTTATCCTCACCCCCCCCCTTATTTAAACTACTCAAAAGGAAAATACAGTATTTTTCACTATATATGCAACTATTATTTAGATTATTTACATTTGGAATAGTGTTTTCATCTTTGTTATTATCAGAACATTTTGTCTGTTAAGCTCTTAGGCCTTCATCAGGTGCTGGTCAATCTGGGTCATTCAGCTAAGGGCTATATGTAATACACACTTGATGATCATACCTCTTTCGATTCATGACAGACTAGGCAGACGATTTTCCTGCGATAGGTTGCCATTTCTTTCTGCAGTAGACTGGTTGCCAACAAAGGCTATAAAACCCAATCTGTTCTGCTATGAAACCCATAACTGGGAGAAGAGATGGATTCATACATTTCTCAAGGATATTTGCACACAAGAGAATTGAACAAACCCAACCAGAATTCAAACAGCCTTTCATTTCTCATTACCAGCCAATATCCATTACACTACATATCCTGTCAATCTGTTCACAATTCCCAGACAGTTACCTGGACTGACAAGCACATGATAAAGGCCAGAGAGCACAACAGCCAAAACATAACAACAAAGATGATTGATTGAATCCCTTGTTTAACAACATATCAACTCTTTATGGGTCATTTAATGTTGAAATTTTCTTGAGGTTTGAAGTAATAAAAATATGATACATGTTATTCTGCTTTCACAATTGAATACATGGTAGATGATACTCAGCCTTTTTGTATAGACATGTTTGACAATTACTAGAGGCAGGGATATATGTGATATATGTTGAAGTTATATTTTGGAATACAGTTTGATTTGTCGGATATTATCTGGACTAATGTCATGAAAGAGTTCTTCCATGTTGATTAGTTGGTTGGTTGATTTTGTTTAGCAGCATATTAACACCTCTATGGGTTATTTAATGCTGAAATCTAAATTTTTTTTTTTTTTTTTTTTTTTTATAATTTTATGCTTTCTAGATATTATGTACATAATTTTATGCTTTCAGAGTAGAGGTATTTTTTTTTTTTTTTTTTTTTAGATATATATTTTGCAGATCATAAAATGTATTGTAGGTAATGTTACTATAAAAATGTACTGTTGATTTGTTTGGTGGGGGTTCACTATTTGCCCATAGCGGAGACCCTAACAGGTGCTATCACCCTGGGTCAGGATGGACCTGGAAAGAACAGCAGTGGTCCCATGCTCCTCAAAACCTCCAATCTTCTAATCAAAGGCCTTGCTGCCAGATGTAGTTTATCATGATACCCAGGACAATAAAAATAAGGACAATAGTGAGAATGTAAATAATGAGAATTCCTTGTTGCAGAGATTCAGGAACACGCAACTATACCTTAGAAATACCAAAAAAATGAGAAAAGAAATTAGGAAAAATAAAATCGTATTTTCATCTCTAAATGCTACCAATTCAAATTTATATCAAAAAGTTACTTACCTAAAGTAGCACGCTCAATACCAAAGAGAAATCTGGAATGATGCCTATGGTTAGATCCCCGATCTTGATTTTTCATCTTATTAGACATGCCAGACATCTGGGAGGAAGTAGAAACATTTTTATAAAAGCCACTGTTGCTACTGCCTCCTCCTCCTCCTCCTCCTCTTCCTCCACCACTATTGTTATTACTAGTAGTACTACTACAACTAGCATTGCTACTATTACAACAATCATCAATGTCATTGTTTTTGTAGTTTGTGTCTCGATAGCCAGACGCCATCGTTGGGTTAGTGGCTGCATTAGTACATTTCTTAAACTCACGAAGATCATTATTAATGTAACCAGAAGATTGTCTGTGTGTACCATAATGGGTCTTTGCATTTGGAGGAGCTGGAATCCCATTATTTAGAATTGGTGAGGAATTAGCCAGCTTTTCAGCACCAGATGCATGTTGTTGTTGTTGTTTGCTTTTGGCAGCTTTCTTGTTCTGTAATGTTTTTCGAGCTTCATTGCTTTTCTCTTTTTTGTTGTCCTTTTTCTTTGGAGAGTTTAAAGGCACACTTGGCTCCCCTGCATTCAAAGGACATGAGCGTGGTGCCAGTTTTGGCTGGCTCATTGCTGCTGGTGAAGTACGTGAATTGGCTGAAACAATAGGAACATCCTCAATACCACTGAAGGAACTGCTGACACTCCCAGAACTTTCTTTGCGCACCGATACTGGTATGTTACCGTCAGAAAAACCATAAAGAGATGCATTGTTAACACCCTGGGAGCAATCTTCCTTTTTGATATCAGTCTGCTCAAATTTATCCAAACCATACTTAGAGTCTGGGGAGACAACTGGCACACTGTGGCTCATGATAGAAGCCGAAATATTCTTCTGTTTTTTATGGTTAGAATTCACACGCCTTGGCTTGTGAGAAGGAGATTTTATCAAGTTGTCATGAGGTGACATCTTCTTCTGAAAGTTCTCTATATCATCTTTAGGAGATGCAGTGCGACTATTGACAACTTTCTTCTCTTTTGACAGCTTAGCTACCTCAGAATAAGTGGGTCTTAAGGATGAAGACGACGATGACATAGTGGCACTTTGCTCTTCAAAAGTACTTGGACTCTCCAGAAGTCTGGAGTACATGAATGGACCATAGGGCTTATCAGGAATGGCATTTATGAATTCCTCCCGTTCTATTTTAAGGCGTTGGGCTCGACTGGCCTCAGCAGACTTCCGCTCACTCCCAATGGCTGTCTTGCTACAACGAAATGATGATGAATCGGCAACACAATCCTTGGCTTGTGGCAATGCATCAACACTGACGCCAAGAGACTGGCCAAGAATGGCCTGAATTTCTTCCGGAGGCAATTCTTCATTGCTACTTAGATGGTTAATGTAGCTGTACATTTCAGGGGCTGAAGAAAGAGGATTGTAAGTGTAACCAAGGTTTGGTTGGGCAGGACCTGGAGGCACACAATCCACGTGATGCCAGCTGTAAGGACTAATCACAGGGTTAGGGTGGACCGTATGCAAGTGGCCAAACAAAGGCCAGTTGTTGAGAGGATTATATTCTTCATCACGTGGTCTTGTTGTGGTAGCAGCAGCTGTATCTCTTCCAGTTGCAGACATTCCAAACCTGAAGCCGTCTTCATTCACAGTGTCAGCCATTTTGGCTTCATCTTAAATACAATACAGAGAACTAAAAAGAAAAAAAATAACATACAATAAATTTGACAAATGTTATTACATAAGCAATAGAGATTATATATATTTTTAATAATGAAAAATATTTTTAAACTTCATTTCTTTTATTAAATTTTATTTTAAACATGAATAGAATTATTGTAAATCTTGTCATTAAGTTTTTGCAAAGGAGGAGGATGGTCCTGAATAATTCAATTTACAAGATTGAGTAGTGTTAAAAAAAAAAAAAAAAAAAAAAAAAAAAAAAAAAAATATATATATATATATATATATATATATATATATATATATATATAAACAATAATAAAAGCTCCACCTCCAAAACCAAGTCTCAACACATCACAATCACATTCTATGAAATATTAAATCTCTTAAGTGTTTCAATGAAATGATAAAGAAATATTCTTATTTAATATACTTAACATTAATTAAATCAGACAAAATTTAACAATGTTGTGAATAACAGAAAAACCTAAGCAATTATAAAAATGAGAAATATTAGAATAAGCTACATTAAAAGTAAAAGAAATGAAAAATATCACTCATATACAACTTTTTGGTCCTTAAGCGTCATATCAACTCCTGAGTCATTTAATGCTGAAATTTAATTTTCTTGGGAGAAAATGTATTGCTGGTAATATTTTATTTTTTACTATGAAAACATATTGCAGGTATTTTTACTACAGAAATTTTTATACTATATCATAGTGTTGACCCCAGGGATTTCACTATTTGCTCATAGCTGGGACCCTAACAGGTGCTGCCACTCTGGATCAAGAGTGGACCTGGGAACAACAACAATTAAAAGGTGGTTCCCTGCTCCTCAAAACCTCCCAATGCTGCCAGAAGTAATTTATTGCATATACAATTCATTAACTTACTAAATCAAAAGAGAACAGTTAAATCTTGACACAAAAAATAAAAAGTTAAATTAATTTCATGTCAGTTAAAAGATTTTCTTTCTTGTTTTATAATTCTGCAATTCCAAAGTTGACTCTTCCTAAATTCCAAAATCACAGATGGAACAATATTTTTTAATTATCATGAGTGATATAAAGACAGTTTTCAACAATTGGATTGGATAGATATAAATTTGTAGCATTTAATCAGAAACCTTTTATACATCAATGATTTACTGCTTGCCCATTTGAGAGAATATGTGTGTGTGTTTACACACAGTATATTGCCATGTACGAGGAGACCTTTAGAGAACACAAGGTCAAAAAATATAGCAAATTTACATGAATTTACCCTATACCTGTAGTATAGTGCGACTGTTTATTGATAATATAAAGATGATGTTATTGGAAATGTTGTTACTTACTATATCCTTAGAAAATCAAAATAAACGAAATAACAAAACTAATTCTATATCATGTTTTTCCTACACACATCCCCTAAAAGGGAAACCATTGTTTTGTTAAGTTTTATCATGTGATCACTTGAAGTTGTATGTAATCTTAAACTGTGTTATTATTTAACATGTAAATGATAATGAACTTTTAATGAGAAATGAATATTATGTCATCCTAAATATTATTATTACCATAATTAACATTATCATGATTATTGAAGGTTAGCAAAAGATAAAAGGTTGCTGTGAACACGATCATAACTATGTTCACATTTTCTCAGCCGAGTTTGCATGGACACAAGTTGATTTCATTGATATGGAATTCGTCTTCAAAATAGGCAATTTATTATAAAGTTATGCTAGTAATATACAAGGTAGAAATGGTTTTATTACTTTTAATATCACTTTATTTAATAATGTGAATCTACATGTATATTATTGGTTATCACACCAAGGCCGATGTTAGCCAACCAACAAAAATCCCTCAGAATTTAAGGTTTCTTTTAGAATTGTAGCAAGAAACGACCAATTTTTAAGGATGATTTTTGAGATACTCATATGTATATGAGTGTCACCTCAAGCAAACACAGAAGTAGATTCTCCCTCCCACTACTAAACATAGTCAAACAAGTATAAATAAATCCAATTTAAAAAAATAAATCAGTTTGTCTGATGATTGCCAAAGTGTGAAACCCAGGGTCACAAACTCATATCCATACAACTGAATATGTTAACTATCACTGATATTGAGCACTTTTCCCTAAGTACTATATATATATATATATATATATATATATATGTGTGTGTGTGTGTGTGTGCTCACGCATGTGACTGGAATAAAAAAAATTCTTTGGAAATGAAGAAATTGTGCTAAATGTTTCAACAGTTTTCAAACATTAGAGAAATTCAACCTGCATTAAAGGAAAAAAAAAAAGTCTATTTGAGGTGAAACAAAAGTTTGTAGCATTTTTAAGTGAATTTCAAAAACAATATTAAGGTATTTGTGAATAGATTTATTCAACAACATATGTGCCATTTTGTTTCTCTAAACTTCATTGTCTTTGAGGCGTCCTTGTAGAAATTGGCATCTTTCTGGTTGATCAACTGCTCTTAGGGATTTTTACAGTCTTCCAGGTAATTGATATTTTCTTCCATTAAGAGAATTTTGAAACAAATGGTAATCAAAAGTTGCAAGGCCAGGCAAGTACAGTGGGTGTAGTAGGACATCCTAGCCAAGCTATAGCAATTTCTGCCAGGTCTTCAAAGAGACATGAGGTCTGGCATTGTCCTAATGGAAGATGACATCCTTCTGATTGAGAAATGGCCATTTCTTATCGATTGCTGCCTTTAGTCAGTCCAATTGGGAAAAGTACTTGTCTGAATTCAACACCTGATGTAAAATACCTTTCCAATCCCACCAGATACACAGCATCACATTTTGGTTGGAAACTGGCCTTTTTGAAATAGTTATTAATAGCTCATTTTGTTTTCCCCTCAGGACCTTTTTCACCTACACATTTCTTTTATCACGGTTTTCAAAAATGGGTAATTTGTTGTTGAACAGTTGCAGATGGAAATATCCATTAAATCTTTCCCTGTTAATTCAAGAGGCACCAAAACACTAGTGATTGACATATCCAAGAGTTTTCAAATGATTTACAATATACACATGAAATATGTGGAGCATTTCTTCTATGCCATATGTCCTAAGTTACATAACTTGGACTATTTTTTTTTAATCAGCCTTTCAATTTGGTCATCATTGATGTAAAGTCAGAACATTTTCAGTCTTCAAGATCAAAATTTCCACTTCTGAACTTAATCAACTATTTACAAACATTACTATTGGCTATGGAACCATTTCCATAAATGGCACATATCTATTTTTGCTGTTGGTACAGCATTTCTCTCCTTTCTGGATATTTTGGGGCACCAAATAACAATCCTTTTCCTCAGTTTTCACTTAATTCAAAAATATTTAAAATTCCCAATTCATACATGAATTATATAGAATGCATTGAAATGTCATTTTTCAGAATATGGACAGATCAAAAATTTCAGTCACATGTGAAATGAAATCACATTTCCAAATGCGACCTATAGAAAAATACTAAAAGATTTTGTTCCAACCCAATATATCTAACATATTTGAAACACATAATTTATTTAAAAAAGTTGTTAAAATACTTAAAAAAATTTATTAAAATTAATTATTATGAATATAATGAAAATGTTAATGATCGGAAATAAAACGAGTAATTTGGAAAACTTATAAATCAAAATTACATCCCATTTCTATCAATGAATCTAAAATATAAACTACACAAATATTAAATAGTTTAGTCACAGAATTTCAATAGTAATTTTTATTTAAAAATGTATTTTTTATACTGTCACTGTTTTGTTTATTTTGGTGGGGGAGGGAGGAGGGTTACTATTTGCCCATAGCTGGAATCCTGACAGGTACTACCACCCAGGGGTCATGATCGACTTGGAAACAACAGTAATTAAGGTGGTTCCACGCTCCTCAAAGCCTCCAGTCTCCTTCCTGATCAGTCTCCTTGCTGCCAGATGTAGTTTGTTGTCATACCCAGAACTAACTTATTCAGAGTTTTCCAAGAGAATCCAAGTTAAAAATTAATGTAACTAAATTTATCATCAATACTTCAATTCATATTTATTCAAATCTGGTTTTATTTAGTTTGTGAATGTAAATCAGTATTGGATTCCTATTGACAATTATGTTGCAAAAGCTTTATCAGATCCACACAAGAATAGTACACATGAAGGTTCTAACTCAGTGCTACATGTGGTGACCAAATCTAAATGCTGATGTTGAAACACCATAAAAAGGTTTATCTATAGTTAGAGAAGTTCTAATAAAGCTGCAACTCATAGCTGTTGATACATACTCAAAGCATGCGTTATGAAGTCGTCTGCAGACAAAAATCACAATTGAGAAACAGAAATGTTTATGTATATTCTGCTTGTGATACTAATAAGTGATAACAGCACAGGTTTCCGCAATGACAAATTCCAAGTGTTTATAAACTTCAAAATGGAATTTTACATATATTTACAGTCCTATATCAGCTATCTTCAAATGGCCAAGATGAATGCCCTGTTTACACATTGAAAAAAAAAAAAAAAAAAAGAAGAGAGAGAGAGAGAGAGAGAGAGAGAGAAATTAGACAGAAAAGTGACACTAAAAACTAAAGTCTGCAAGTAATTGTTTCCGGCATCCAACACAGAATTTCTCCAACTATCCAAATATCAATTCCAGACAATTCTTTATATCCTTCAAGTGAATTTAGAGTTAAGGTTTTTGTACAGAATTTTTGTGTTGGTGAACATTGGATTGGTGGTAAAATAACAGCAACAGGGTACTGTAAATTTTAAAATACAATTGGTTGAAAGCATGATAAAACAACATATGGATCAAATTTTGAAACTTCCACACAATGGGTAAGATATTAGAGCTTGATATTTCTGTTGTTACAGAGTTCAAAGTTAATGAACTTCCACTTTCTATCAATCCACCACCTTGAGATACTACTTTCTCTCCACAGTACATTGGAGATTTATGCTGTTCCTGAGGTTTATAAGTCAT